CACATTAAGATGTGAAGGGATTACAAACAAAAGGATAGGTAATTTGTGGTGCATGTTAATGCACAACTTCTAGGAAGTAAAATTGGTGAGCTAGAGACACAATTGATAACAGGAGTTTCATTCTGTACCATTATTGGAGAGGACTGGGAGCTTAACGGTCCTCCTAACTGGAAAAGGAACACTCAGAAAATGTTCCTTAACAGCAGCTATATGTGTCCAGAGATGTGGCACAGCCCAAACCCTACTCTTCCCCCCTCCCAGCACTTGGATGAAATACCTGTGAAAAATCTGTAATCAGAATATGTGATACACACGCTATGCCTGTGTGGAAATGTAATTCGAACCATCACATAACTGGTTAAAAACATCTTGCAATACAGTGTAAATAGTCCTTCACCTCCTGGCTGCATACTGTCCTCTGTATCAGTAAAAATTGGCAAACCTTCTATCTCTTGGCAGCAAATTAAAAGATCTCCTTCAAGGTCTTTCCTGCCTCACTAAAACTAATTGGTAAGGAGTATCGCTATGTTTGACAAATTTAATTGACAGACAATACAAAGCCATGCAAGAGTAAAAACTACCAATTAGGAAAATTGGAAAAAAGTATTCACGTGAACAAACTATTTTGGTTGGATAAGATTTGTGTATCATGTATTCTAAAAATATATATACTCTGTATAATCACATAAAATTTGAAGTAGTCCTGCTCTGGTATTGTAACCTGAAAGGACCTCTTCCCTCACTGAAGTGGGTCAATCAATAAAGCTTACAATGATTGATTGTTGAAACTGTCTTTGAATTGTGTTTTATGTAGCGCATCGAGCCACAACACCTGAAGCTTCATAAAACCCCTGCCTCTTACGGGAACATCCAACTCATTCCCCCAATCTCCTGTGAAGGAGCTTCTTTCCTGTTCCTCCTGAAATAATCTCATCTTAACTTTTCAATTAAAAACATTTATTTAAAATATGAGGCTTCTCCCATTTCAAATCTATTTGAATTGTGTCTGGGGCATCCTCCCGACGTGAAAGGCACTATTTGTTGTTGTTGTATGCTAAGTGGTTAATTGCTGTGAGACCTATGATCAAACAGACCTGCTCTCAAATGTTTATGGTCCAGGCTTATGAATTATTATTCATTATTATTATTATTATTGTTTATGAAGAATGCCCCCAACACAAAAACAGACAAAAGCTGACACCAAGTAAATCATACCCACAATCTTCTGAAGAAAAATAAAAAGTAAAATAATAATTATTTCACGATAAAAACACTTCACAGGATTTAACCACCCAATATTGCCTCTTATAGAATGGTGAGGCAGAAGATTTTACAAGGAACTGAGAAGAAATATGAATAACAAAACCACAAAAGACCAAAAAACATATTTAAAAATTATTTTGTTCTAAGAATAAGGTTCTTCTCAATCAAGTCCAATTCACAAAGCTGGCTCATAATAATAATAATCCTTGCATTTGATATAGCGCTTTTCACGTCAGGAGGATGTCCTAAAGAGCTTCACAGAACACACTGTAAAGTGAATTGACTGTATATTTGTGGGCGAACGCGGCAGCCAATTGCACACAGCAATGTCCCACAAACAGTCGTAGATTGCAAATGACCAATTTATTATTGTTTTTGGTTTTGGAGGGATTATTATTAGGCGCGTGGAGTAAGGAAACTTAGTACTATACTTACAAATGTTACTGCCTTGTGGTTGCCTCCCTTCAGCTTTTCTACCCTCATCGTATGAAGATTAAAATTAAATATTAAAATTAAGACCACTTCCAGCCTACAGCACATACTGAGAGAGATGAAGGGGGGTGTTACATACAAACAGTGTGGTGATCTCGAAGTTGCTGCATTCGATCGCAAACATAGATGGTCAACGATTTGAGTCTGAGATGGCCTTGCCTTACAATGATCAGGGTTAAATCAACTTCTGCACACCTGCCTCCGAGTCAGAAGGTTATTGCCGTTTTCATTCAGGTTATCATATCATATCTTAAATAGATGCACACTCCTCTATAACCTGAAAAGATGAGCATGATTCCCAATCTTGCTCTATCATCAGCAAACTATTGATTATAGACTTTAATTTCAGTGAGGGGAAATCAATGCAACAGAATGTAAATTATTTTCTAATTGCTGTATTCACTATCTTTAAAATAATTAATATCAATAAAATGAAGCTTATTCCTAGACTCAGAAAAGAACCCCTGCTGATCTTCCTAGTTTCTCTGCCTACAACACTGTCTATAATTCAGTTGTAGTTTAGACTCTTGGCCACCAAAACCTCTGCCATGTAATATAATTGGGCCGACCCTCTCCATATAGCAGTTTGAAGTGTGTCAACTGCCTTTTCCATCAGTCTAGACTACAATTCGATGATAGTAGTATTTGAGATAGCACCTTATCACGTCTTCAAAACGTTGCAAAGCGCTTCATAAAATATACTCTAAAGTGAATTGTAAAGGCCAATTGCGCACAGCAGTGCCGTGGATTGAGTGAACAAATTATTATTTTACTCCCGGAAAGCAATCCGCTAATCGACTAACGACCTGGTTCCTACTTACTGCTAGGTAAACAGAGGCATGTAGAGTAAGGAAACTTGCCCAATGTTTTGCCCTACCTGGGAATCAAATCCAGGTTCTCTCGCTTGTGAAGCGAGTGCTCTAACCACTAAACTACAGGATTTGGTGATTGGGTAATGTTGCCTTCTCTTTCAACAAATTGTACTTAAGCCTCTCTTCAAGCTGCTTGGGGATGCCAGAGTACATCCCTGTGTAAATACTTTTATGCTACATTAATAAACATATGTTCTACGTACAGTACTACCATTATAAATGATAAAAAGTAGACAATTTAATTCATAAAGATAACAACTGCTAAACCAGCACGATACAAGAGCCCTTGGAAGGGACAAGGAGCGCAGCATGATTCAGCCCATTTCTCTCACACCACTGGTGCAGAAATCAGTCTTGGTCTGCCCCTAAACAACTTTATTACTACTTAAACAGCAACAGCAGGAGCTGGGTAATCCAGCACAGGGAAATCTAAAATCTAAAAGAAGTTAGTCCTTTTTCTAAAAAAAATCTTGGAATTTGCAGAACTAGAGGAAAGCGAGTGCAACGAAAAGCAGCCAACTGGAGTAATATCATGGTACAGATTCTGTACTGTGGAAATGTTAAGTGTTGAAGCCACATCAAATGTTTTAAAAACTATTTAAAATGCAAAATGATTGATGAATGCTGCCGTAATTTTTGCAGCAATGAAACAGGATTGAATATACTATATGGAATTGAAATGTCTACAAACAATTCTAAATCACCCAAGAGAAGGCTTCACAAATACCACAAATACTGTGCTACAGTTTTCTGCTCTCCCAAACCCAGATTACCCCAACCTTGTTTCTGAACGGCCCCGGACCCAAACAGACCAATAATTTTCCTTCCTCTATCTGTCCCCCACCTCTCTCTGTCTGCTCTGCCCTCGTCTCCGTATCCACCTCTGGGAACATCCTCAACCATATTTCATATAAACATATATGATGTTCTTGTTGATGTGCACACTGTGTGCTCATCCTCACTCTATGCAGCTATCATTACAATATTTTTGGGGCAAATAGAATACATCACAATAACATCTTGAGCAGTAATAGTTTTATAATGGTTTACCTCTACGGCCGTATAAAAAACAGCCAACCCACCCACTCCCTCCGCTTGGCAGGCACTGACCTGTTTCATGCTCCCCATCCTCACCACTGCGGTCGGGCCTTCAGCATTTTTGCCCCCACCCTCTGGACCTCCGTCCCTTAGCCTGGCCCCCTCCCTTCTTTCAAGGTGTCTCAAGAACTTCCTCTTTGACTGTGCCTTCGGTCATCTCCCCCCACCCCACTGAATTCAAACTCCAGTTCAGGTGCAAACCCTTGACTTTTCAATACCTTGCGATGTCCTCTGATGTGAAAGGCGCTGCATTAATGAAATTTGAAATTCGGGAATCCTTTGTCTCCTTCAAGGTCCGTCTCAAGACCTTCACTTTGACTTTGCCTTCATCATTCATTTCACTCATTCATCATTTGACATCCGACAAGCAAATCTGAGCCCTCACTCGGTGGATGGCAGGTACCAGGAACTCCTGCAGGCTCTTTGGTCAATTTGTGTTTCTCATCCTTAGCCATAGCAAAGGGAAGGGGTCATCATCTTAATCCAAGAGGTCGGTCCTACAAGTGAATCCGTGGTGCTGACCACAGACACTGGGATGGTCTCTGCTCACATGGCGGCTGAGTGACATAACTGCTTTCTTCCATTAATATATTTCAAACATTTGCAATTTATTTAATTACCAGTCTGCTTTTTGCTACTTTTTCCACCTTCTTTACATTAGCACAGACACAGTCTTTCGTTATTCATTGCGAACCAGGGTGAAAAGTGTCCTTTGGCTCATTACATAAGCTTTTCCCTGGTTGACTTTTGTCAGAGGGCTCATCTTCAGATATCATTTTTTACACACAAAACCATCATTTCTCTCTTATCTCAATCATCTGTATGACACATATTCAATAGAATTTTTTCCTGAAAACACAGAATTATTTGGACGGTCTGAGAATGGGTAAGCAGCCCGTTCAGATCATAGTAAAGATTTTGGGAAAGAGTTCCAAAGAGCAGAGATGTAGAGGCTGAAGATTTCATAATGTACAGTTGGCTTACTGCTCTAATATTATAATAATTCCTTGCATTCGGTACAGTGCTTTATCACACCGTTGAGACTCGTGATTCAATTTACAATACTTGAAGTTGGTTAATAGGCTCCTGCCTGTTTCCTGAAGTGACTATCCTTTCCTGAAGTTTCTCTCAGTACCATTCCACCAGAAGCTTTTACAATTATCCACTGTTTTGTAAATCATGATACGTTTCTCACTGTTTACTTGCTCAATTCCTTTGCCATAACTTCTTTGGCAGAACATTGTTTGTTGTGTCTTCTATGGCAAAAAATTAAAATTAAGTTAAAAAAGTGTATTTTTATTGGGGGTACAATTTTGCATTCAAAAAGAGTCATCTTTCATCAGGCTGGTCTGTCATCAGCAAGTGCCTTGACGTACTGTAGACATATGGCTCCGGAACTGGACTAAGGAGACCTTCACAAAGGATCAAACTGATTCAGATATTCCATTGCCAGGCACATCACCTTGGAGCTGAGTCAGCATCATGAAGACCCCTCTTACTTCCTCTCCTACGGAGGATAATGAGCCTGAGATGACTCACCTTTCAATGTTCTCCACCCTCTCTGCTGAGCAACACATGATTTCCATTGTTGGTGACTGCAGTCTCTGATCTCAGATGGTTTATCCAAGGAAGGCATTGAACAGCGGCCAGGCAATCCCCGACAGTTTTATGTGCAACACACTTTCTAAATGCCTTCCTTGGTTAAACACCTCTTCTAAAGAGAATCAAACTGCATATTTCAATGAAGAGGCAGTGACTTGGAATCAGGCCCGGATATCCCTGTAACTACAATTGCCATGGATCTGCATAAGTGGTCAACGTTTCGAGCACTGTCCCCTTTCTTAGCATTAAAAGAAAAAAACTTATTTGGAAAAAAACATGTCTCCTTCCTGTACAGAGCTGCATGTCAGCTTCATTTGTTCTTCACTGAAACATGGACCTAGAGGAGTTTAAAAAGGCTAATGAAGCACTTCAAGAAAATCTGGATAAAGAGCCCATGGCAGAGAGCACCATCACACTGAAACTACTTACCTTATAATTCCCCTCCCCATTTTAGTGATTCTTTAACCCTTTCCTTACAAAGCAGTTCTTTTTTAATAGCTGCAATAAAACAATTGAGAGGGTCCGATTTGACAGAAGTCCATTGTACACAGAACAACACAGCACTTGTGCAGCTCTCACAATACATTTGGATCAAATCATGATACAGCATGGTACAAACCATATTACGTTCTATTTCCCAGTTTGGTCTGTAGGATCAACTGCAAGATGAAAATGTTGCCAGTTGCTGCAGATCACGATTGTGTGGTGTCCTCTCCACTGCCCGCTGGCTGGCTGACTTGAATATGGTAAGTACTCAGCTCCTCAGGGCTCACCAAGTCAGGGGCATTACTCATAAGGTCGCGCCCTCTGAAGGATTTAGGGAAAGCAATGACATCCCGTATACTTGATGCCCCAACAGTGAGAGCAATCAATCTATCCAGACCTAAAATACCAGATTAAATAACATAACATCAAGTGACAATAAGGTCAATGATCTTAAAAATAATATTACTTGCATTTGATAGAGCACCTTATGCGTCATTGAGATGTCTCAAAGCGCTTCACAGAATAGACTGTAAATTGACTGTATACTTTGTGGGCAAAATGCAGCAGCCAATTGTGCACAGCAGTGTTCCTCAAACATTTTTGAAGGTATTACCATCTCTGGAAAGCAACCACGTAAACCTGCCCTTCGATTACTGGCACTGGGTAAAAACAAATTCTATTTACACCAAAGTTGGGTACTCAGAAGAATGTGCTTTTTTCTGGGATATATAATGTGTATTACACCTAGAATGCTATACAGTGTTCTCAGTGGACCATGCTTTCGGTCATCTTTTCCCCGCCCCATCTCACCTCCCTTGGCTCCCACCCCCAGCTCAAGTGCCCAGCAGGCAGTGTTGAGCGCTTTGAGATGTCCTTCCAGCATGAAGAAGGGTGCTACGTAAATGTAATGTTTCTGGAAGTGAAACACAAAATATTTCTTATGCGCCCCTCGTACCTTTCTCAAATAGGGAAGCCGGCCCGCAACAGCCAAAAGGTTGGACCGCCCTGCTCTGTGTGAAGGGCACCGTGTGTTGTAAATGGTGGTGCTGTTGTTAAACATCATTGTTACTTAATGTTATTGTTACTTAAACAGAAGCTTCTGTTGGGTTATGCTGTGCTGGATTGTGAATTTATCACTAAAGAGTAACAAATATACTTATCAGGAACTCACCCAGTGCAATCCCTCCATGAGGTGGAGCTCCAGAGTCCAGTGCCTCGAGGAGATGCAACAACAATCCAGTGTCTTCCTGCAATGTCACACAAATACACTTAAGAGGGACGTTTATCTAGAATGCAAGTAAGTTCAAGGGAGTGCCCCTTGGTGTAATGAGTCATGTGTAATGAGCTCTAAGACACTGCTTGGATTTAGGGAGGTGTGTTACAGTTTTCAATCTCTGTGTGTTTTCCTTTCACTAATTCAATTAACAATTCGCTTCCCACCTCAACACACCTGCCACTTATTGTGAGTCATAACCGGATTCAGAAAACAAGTATTTGGGAGACCCACCTTTAATACTGTCTCCAGCACATAATGCTGCAATTCCATGTCGTGTATCCGAATGGAGCCTCCTCCTATTTCATTGCCATTCAACACCAGGTCATAATGCTGGCTCCGCACCTTCAGAGAACAGAAATAGCATCAGGAACTGCCACACAGCCCCATGAAGTGCAGATAAGACCAAGGTTTGGCTGCAAACAACAACAGTCATCTAGACGGTCCATAGAACCACAGAAATATAAAGCACAGAATGAGACCATTTAGTCCGCCATGCCTCTACTATCTCTTAATATTTATTGTAATAACCTCCAATCCCATTCCCATGCACTACAGCATTATAGCACAAATAGTGTCCTGAGCCGAGGCCAGCGTCTCAGGAGTTCAGTAGAAGACAAAGGTGTAATTACTGCCCAAAGCGCTTTATCTGAACCTCTTTATCTAAAATGTGTTGACAGGAATGTAATGGCATATGCACATCAGACTCATGGGGAAGGAGGCTAGGAACGCTAGACTGTTACCCCGGGCTCCTTCTCACCAGACTGAGGTCAGTATGTATTCATTTGCCAGGTGACAATCCAGTGTCATACATTGCTTGGATTTCAATGGCAGAGCTGTTGAATGCACAAATTAATGTTCAGGTTAAAAATCCCATGACACTATTCAAAAAGAAAAGGGTGTCTCCCAGTATCGTGGCCTGTAAATTCCCTAAATAAAATTGTTCATTCATTCCATGACTGTTTGTGGGACATTGCTGTGCGCAAACTGGCTGAGGCGTTTTGCCCACAAAATACAGTCAATCCACTTTACAGTGAAGTACTTTGAAACGTCTCGACAACATGATAAGGTGCTATATCAAATTCAAGGATTATTGTTACTTAACGATTTTTATTAATTATTAGTTTAAATTCTTTTGATGTATTTGTGCATTTTTGTCAGACGTCATCTGTTAAAGCACTTTGGTTAATTATTTATTTCCCTCCTCCTTTGAGCTGATTACCTTCTGAGGCTCTGTGCACATGAGATAAGCATCCTCTGGGTGTGGGGCGGTGAACGGGTGGTGGGCAGACTCCAGTTCCTCGGGATTCCCTTCTTTCGGTAAAAACAGCGGGAAGTCGACAACCCAAAGGAAATTGAATGCATTATGATCTCGAAGGGCAACTCCTTTGGACTCCAAGATAGTCGCACATTCCAACCGGAGTTTCCCCAATGCAGCGTTCTTGGGAAAAGGAAATAACACGTTACACTAAAGATTCTTCTATGAGAAACGCAACCCATCAAACCTGTTGGAACATAATAATAAATAAAATAATAATCTTTGCATTTGATACGTCTTCTAGATGTCTCAAAGCACTTCACTGAATATACTGTAAAGTTGATTGACTATATTTGTGGGTGAAACACGGCAATCAATTGCGCACAGAGGTGTCCCACAAACTGACGTGGATTGAAGTGACCAATTTTTTTTTTTTTCCTGAGGGATTATTATCATGTGTGTGGAGTAAGGAAACTTGCCCAAGGTTTTGCTCTGCTGGGAATCAAACTCAGGTCTCTTGCTTGCTAGGCGAGTGCTCTAACCACTGAGCTACGGGAATCTAAGCATAGGACGTATAGAAAAGTTCTTGTGCAATTGATTGAAAGCAGGCTAAACAGACTGAAATCAATAGTAGATAGCAGACAATATTTTCACTGCTGTTAAGTCATAATTGTGACTTCAGAGGTTCATGGTCTAAGTGCAACAATACAGTGCATTGTGGGATTCCTGCAAATCTCCACATGACAACTTTCTGATTCAATGGAGCAAACCACAGCAAAGGAAGATAAGACACTTATTCTGGATGAGCTGTCTGACATCTCTTACAGGCCAGTTACAAAGGCACAGACAGCAGCCTTGGAGCAAAGTATCTACTTAGGCAAGGGAACAGGAAGCAACGTTGATGTTCTCAGTTCAAGCGACCGACACAATTACTGTGTTATTTCCCAGAATCACCAGAGGACTTGCTGAGAGTAATGAGCTGTGCAGCAACTTACTGCTGTGTTAGGATCCCCCGCTGTGAGGATCAGCACATCCCCCACTCGGGCACCCGCTGCACGACACAGCTCTGATTTCTCCCCATCTGTGAGCAGTTTGGTGAGCACCGATTTCCAAGTACCATCGGGTTGTAGAGTAACAAACGTCACATCCTGTTGGCAAGGGTTAATCACAGTCACAATAAAGAACCAGTCTTCAATAGTAAAAATGTATTGATTCTCACCTCACTCAGCCCAGGTCCGGAAAACGTAATCTCATACCAGTTGTTGGCAAGGAGTGACAGCATGTAACTGTCAATCTCCTGAGGGAGAAGCACCAGCTTCCACTTGCCACGTCCCCTCAACACGTTAGTGTTAGTAGCAATGACAATCGCCTGACAACGTGGCTGAGATTAGCAACTCCACGCAGACCGGGGCAGACGGACTGTACTCACAACCTATCGACCCGAAACACACACTGTGGATCTCCAACACACTGCACTGTCAGGAACACATCTAAAGTTTAACAAACCCAATCACACAGCAGAAATACTTCTGTTTAATCTGGACCAGGAAGGTTGGATGAAATTGCTCCTTCCCTTGAAGGCCATAAAAGATCTCTTGGTAATACTAGTTTTGGAGAATAACACCAGTCTCAAGGAGACCTAAATTGAGAATTGGCAGTGTCTTCATCTGTAGTACAAATGGTAATAAGTTCAAACAGCGCATCATATTTTTAGAGCACTATTGCATTGATTATGTGAGAGGAACAATTAAAATAATTCTCAATACTCATTAAAATAGCTCAACTGCAATAAATACCATAAACAGCACTGTGTGATAAGGGGTTGTCTCCATATTTCAGTGGTACAACAAGCAGTATCGGGAACACAATGTCAGGTAAGGGTAAACATCTCAAAGGTTTTCAGATCACCTGAGGTGTAATGGTTTGAGGTCCTTAGTCACAGTGTATCTGCAGAGTGTGAGCTGGGACCTGCAGGACAGCTCCAGTACACTGTAAATACCTGCACAAATGTACATTAGATACAGTCATATCTTACCTGATTAAACTGGGTCTTTGCTAATTCCCTGAGATTTTCTAAATCTTTCTTCTTCAAGTATGCCTGAAAGTAGACAACACTTTTACTAATGTTTTCACCCACAAACTACGCAGTCAATCCACATTATAACATATTCTGTGAGGGGCTGTGAGACATCTCAACGATGGGATGAGGCCCTTTGTCAAATGCAAGGATCATTTTTATATATATTAACTGAATGCACGCAGGTCTGAAATCTTCTCAGTTCTCTTAGGGGGTTTCTCTTCGTTGGTCCAAGCTCCAAGATCGTTCTAGGTGTTTGTTTCAAGAGATTCTCCCCTCAGACTCTTCCTCCACTGGGGGCAGGGGGTAGGGAGGGGGAAAGAGAGAAAGCACGCAGCCTTCATTCAACAGTTCTCCAGAACAGCTCTGTAACTCACAGGCTCTGCTACTCTGGATGCGTAACTGAGATTTTAATGAGGTGGCCTCCATCCCTCCTGAATCCAATCCTCAAACTTGGCTGCAAACCCTCAACTCTCCAACGGCTTGGGACGTCCTCCCAACATGAATGGTGCTATATAAACACACTTTGTTGTCTGTCAGCGGAGTAGAATGTGGCTACACTTACCACCCCTTTGGGGACTGAGATGCTCCGCACAACACCACACGGTTGGCCAAGTGCATCACGCAAGAAAGACACGTCTGCGTCTCTGAATACTTCACTGACGTCCGTAATCTGCATTTAACATCGAAGTACACAGTAAAAATGAGCGTGGTTAAGGCACAGTACAGCAATCTGCTGTATTCTGGGTGGAGCACTAACACAATTATGCAACTGTAGTTACCGTAAAAACATTCCTTTACTTAGTTTATTACTTACATTTTTCTCCGAAGTTTCCTTCCGCATATACAACTCATTAAGGAGGGGGGCTACATTTACATGCAAACTCTAGCACAAGAATGCATTATTCATGTGTGAGACTGGACATGAATATTGCCAGGTTATTCATTCAACTTGCATGGGTGAAGGGAGTTATTGTCCCATAACCAAACTGAGTAATGAATTGCATCTCATTTACTGGGGAGGGGCAGGAGGAGTGTGGGAAGTGTCCTCCATAATGCCAGGCATCCTGAGGGCTCCAACGTATCATTGGCACAGAATGCCACAACTTACCAATATTATTTTTAAGCAAAAAGCTTGGGAGACATGAGGGAGAAGCAGATCGACTTCCTCTATAATTTCTCATCTCACGGCCCCCACTTGTCAGGACCACTCAAACATTTCAAGTGTATGTTTCATGACAGCTATTTACAAAAAAAGGGAGCTTCAATACCAATTCAGGATGAAACTCATCCCGAGAAAACCAACCTTCATCCCAAATCGCGTATCAGGTTTGTCAACGCCATAGCTGCCCATGGCCTCGGCATAAGTAATTGATGGAAAGGGTAACGTGATTGTTCCCTTTTCCTCCGGCCAGGAATACTCGATCAGTCCTTCGATCAACTTCTGAATACTTGCCTGGTTCACAAATGACATCTCAATATCAATCTGAAATATAGAGTGATATATAGAGAAATATACCAGTGTCGGTCAATAGCTTGAAAAGAAGAGTTAAGCATCACTGGTTTCACAAGCATCTAGATGCAGGGCTGATCTAAACTCCATCATACTGGCACAACGTCATTAGCTTTGTTAGTTACTGAGTCTAATCCTGTGTTTGGACAGAGATCAGTTGTGAGAATCCTGGGTGATCTCCCTCTAACCTGAAGTACTGATATCAATTAGTAGTTCTAGTGACATCAGCTAACTCAGTATGTTTTCAAACTCAAAACATTTCGCCCACAAAAATATGGCTCAGCCATTAACTGAATAAACCTGTCAAGTGATCGCAGGAGTAAAGCATTCATTTCTTATCTGTCCAGGTTCTGATCAGAAGGGTCACAACTACTTCCTTGCTCAATGCTTTCGAAACTGAAAGCTTTGGAAGATTTAAGCGACAATGAACATCATGACATGGGTAAGAAAATGCCATCTGAAATAATAAGACTAATGGTCTTGTCTCCATTACTCCATTACAAAGAGTATCATAGCTAGAAACCCAGAAAGGTTAAAGCACACCTGAATGCTTCAGATGAAACAAGAGTGAGGCTGAGTGATTTACAAATGTCTGAACATCTTGGTACTTAGCAATTTAAACTCTCTTAAGACTACTCAAATGTCTATTGCAGACAGCATCTTGTCATACGGAAAGATTATCAACTGTAGTTACAACAGAAGTCTTTAGAAATGCTATTAAAATCTGACTTATCTTGATGAGATCTGAAATTTTCATTAATTCCCGCAGAATAGAATGGAAGGATGAAAAAAAATATCCGAGGTATTCCTGACTTTCGTCTTTTCAACTTCACACTTCAACTCACTCACCTGGGTAAACTCGGGTTGTCGGTCTGGCTTTGAACCCTCATCTCTGTAGCAACGAGCTACCTGGAAGTACCTGCAGACATTAATTTTGCCTGTAAATTAGTCAAAATAGGTTGTGCAAGCGTATCCAGTCTACACTTTTAAATAAGAAAAAAATATATATTCACTTATCACTTCATCAATAACATATTTGTTATAGAGAAAACCTCTGATCCTCTCATGTCTAGTAGGTACATGAATCATCCAGTGGAGCATTAAGCATATGGCTGAAAAGGTTCAAATGTGGGTCTATACTGATTTGGCTGATCTAAATTGGGGTGGCAGTTGGGCCACTGCAATTGGCTTGTGCACCTCTAGATGGTGGGGGGGGGGGGGGGGGTGGTGGAAAGAGAAGAGGAGAAATCATTTTCTGCCGAGCACATTTTGAATTTAAATTTCATTTCCAACCAGGAGTTCCTGAGTTTGATGACCTGTGGGAGCTGAATTAATAGGCAGAGCTGTCCAGATTCAAAGCTGAATCTTTCTTCATACTGTTTTGCCACCAGCTCGGTACTTCATTTACTGTGATATCAACCTGGCATCACATTAACATCCTAATTGAGATGTCTCAAAGCACCACACAGAATATATTGTAAAGGGAATGTGTCATGTATGGAACCGTGGACACAAATCCACATCTCACTTCCAAAGCTGAAAGAAAATAAATCACTGCAGATTTATGTAGAACAAATCATAACTATTGATTTACTAGAAAGTAAGGAAATGTTGGGATTGAAATGCGGCTGTAAACGCCACAAGCTGCACTTGTCGACTAACATCCCTGGAATTCATCTGACGAGATCTCACCTGTCCAGCCCTCCCACCATCAGCAGCTGTTTAAACTGCTGAGGGCTCTGGGGCAAAGAGTAGAACTTGCCTGGTTCCCTCGAGGGCACCACAAACTCCTTCGCCCCTGGAAATAAAAGTGAGATTCCAGTGTAATCGAGGTGTTCAAAACACTGACAGATTCTAATAAAAATCCTTGTATTTGATATAACGCCTTATCCCGTCGTTGGGAGGTCTCAAAGCACTTCACGGGATACACTGTAAAGTGAATTGACTGCATTTTGTGGGCGAAACGCAGCAAGCAATTGCAATTCAAGGAGCATTTCACCCACAAAGTACAGTCAATTCACTTTACAGTATATTCTGTGTAGTGCTTTGAGATGTCTGAACAACATGTTCAGGCGTTGTATCAAATGCAAGAATTATTATTATTAATAATTGTTCTGTATACATACTGTACTCAAAAGTATGTATTTAAAAGGCTATTAAGATGGAGTTTTGAGATGAAGATAAGAAAAAATTAATTTAGAGGCAATTTTGATCCAAGATTATTTGACGAATAAATAGGATTGACAAGGCCGAATATAACAATGCAGTTGTGTAGCTCTATTGTTATAATTCAATTTTGATGCCCTTGTGGGCACTCGCAGAAGAATAAAAGAAAATATGTGGCTCATTCCAAGTTCTTTCTCCCTTCTCCACGTCAGAACAGTAAGTTTGATCTATAAGATCAGGATTATGAGAAAGATGAAAAAGGTAATCAGTGTATACATTGCAGCATACACTTACACAGGTTCTCTGCAATACTGGGAGGCAGACACGAGACATTATGCAACACTAGCAAATGCTGCAAGACAAGACTTTTATCTGGACCAGGTGGGCACGCACATGTAGAAACAACACTTGGCAACTTTGGGCACATCAACAGAGTGAACTGCACAAGTGCTGGAATCTTGGAATAGGAATAAGAGAATAATTCTAAGCGCATTCCAAGAGAACGGTAAGTGTATGAACAACCCAAGTGGATGACAGGCAATTACTTAAAGGACAACAGAAGATACTGGAAATCCTCTCAACAGGCCAGTTATTGTGGGTATCAAAATGACAAACAACCCGCCTTTCTTTTTCAGACGCTGACTGACCTGTCAACACTTCCTGTTTTTATTTCAGATTTCCAGCATGTAATCACGGTTCTTTACATTTCTAATGGTTGTTTGAATGGGATTTCATTCTAGCAAGGCCTCATTCAGAAGCAAACATTCCAGCAAAACACCTGGAGTCTCTCTTGTGACAATTTCAATAATCCAAGGGAGAAAATTTGCCGGGTTTTGCCAAGTTTTTTAATTTGCCAAAGGTGTGAAGTTTTAATTTTAATTTTAAATTTAATTTTTTATTTAATTTTAATTTTTAATTTAATTTTAATTTTTAATTTAATTTTTGATTTACTAATTAATTTTAATTTTTAAATTAATTTTAATATTTATTTTAATTTTTAATTTAAAGGTGTGAAGTTTTAAGTTTTAATTTGCCTGGCATTCAAACCATAAACTCGGCCAATGAAACTGGCTGGCTTAGCCAAGGGGCTTTAAATTGCCAATGTTATTACAAATTACTCGTGGTCTGAGCTGAACTACTGGCATAGAAACCACGAGGTCTGAAAGAAAATGTGACTGGTTTTGCTAACTTATTTCAATTTGCCATAGGTCTACAGTAACATACTGGCACTGAAACCACAAACTTAGCTTTTCCAAGTTATTACAACTTGATTTGTGGTTTAAGCTGATTCCCCCCAATTGAAGTCTAAACAAGTGTGAAAGATCTGTACAAAATGTGAAAGCTGAATAAATGTTTTTGCCTTGTTTTTTTGGACTTTAAAAAATGTATATTAACGAAAACCGTTCAAGCAGTACATTCAGATTGTTTAAGGCTCTTCAGTCTATTTGATGAGATCAAAGGGACTGAAGAGCCTCCTTCATCTGAATTTCTCTTGTGATCCCACCTCTCAGACTCCCAAGGACAATTGGAGCCTGAGATACTGCCTTGATTCAAGATGTGTCAATATCGCAATCATTACCAACTAAAGTATGCAAAGAAATAAAATATTCGCAACCTATTGATCTCTGTAGAAGAGCTCACTTCACTTGTCAAGAGATCTGTTAAGGGGATGCACTTTAATAACTTAGCGACTGATCAGCTCACATCCATGAGGGAGGTTATGTCAGCCACAAACCTTTGGGCTGGGAAACTCAGTTCTTGATTTTCAGACACTCAAAATCTATTTAAACCAACTTTGCTCTCAACACCAAAACAGATGGGGGAAGGAAACTATTACTTCATCTGAACCTCTCTCAGGATCTCACAAGAGATCTGTTGAAAGCAACATAATAATAATAATAATTCTTGCATTTGCACGTAGTGTATGTAGTACTTGACCTTTGAAAACTGAAGCAATGTCGACTGAAAAGTGACAAAACAAGAATTATAATCATCAATTAGAACAGCCTTGCACAAATCAAAGCCCTATTAATGTAGTACATACCCCGGGAGTTCTTTTAAATAATGTCGGAGTCTCAACGTCCACAAAACCTGGAAGGAAAGAGACAAAGCAAATTTAGTTACTGAACCAATGTATCAATTGCTTCAAAATCCAGTGCCTCACAGCCTCACACACATTTTATGTTCCTTTCATATTGTATCACTGATACGGTTGATCATACCTATGATATGAGCATAGTACAAGAGAGTGAAAGGTACAAAGGCCTCCCCCACATGCATACACAGTAAGCACTCACTATCCACAGTCATGCACGAGACCCGGTATTAAGAGTATCGCTGGAACCCATGAACCACAGCTCGGTGTGATTCAATGCCTTCAGAGTATGGGGAAAGTCTGATAAATGGGAATTCACGGGTCACTCTTTCAAAGCGCCAGCCTGGACACAATGGGCCGAAAGGCCTTCTGTGCTGAACATCTCCATGGCTCTATAGGAGAGGTGAAAATACTGGGGTGAGTGAGAATAAATTATTTTTGTATGAAAATTTTAAAAATAAAGTCATAAGAGTGTAAGAAATTAAATTTCTAAGCTGGTTTTATTACATTAATTGGGACTTCCAGTTTCTGAATGAAAGATTGCAAGAAGCATAAACTACAAATAGCGAATCCCGAAGTAAGAAAAGGCCAGAGAGCAAAACAGCCTTTACCTGGAAAAGTCACAATTTACGTAAAGATCCAGTTTAACTTCAAAAGCTTATACACGAACAACCAATTAATTGAGGCACTAGAGAGTTGATAGAATCTTTACTGCAGCACAAGTCAGCGTCTCCAGGATAATAATAATAATAATCCTTGCATTTGATATATGGGTTGCTACTTACTGCTAGGTAAACAGGGGCATGTGGAGTAAGGAAACTTGCCCAACATTTCGCCCTGCCGGGAATCGAACCCAGGTTTCCCGATTGCGAGGCGAGTGCTCTAACCACTGAGCTACAAGACTGAAAGGAGTGGAAAGCAGTGCGTTACCATGCAGGTTACAGAGGTACTCCCGCATTCTCATCACCATGCGGGAGCGCAGGCGCAAGTTGTACTGCAGCTGGGAGCTCCTCAGGTCCAGGTAGCGATACCTCATGCGCAACGCTTCAGACTTCTGCAACAAATAAAGGATAAAAGTTCAGAGGAAAAAAAACAGGAAAATGTGAATAACAAATTGACAATGATTATCCAATGACAATGTCACTCATGCCATGCCAAAACAATCATAGTGACTCAGTTGTATTTATATCCACACACCCCAGGTATCTTAGTGGCACCAACCGCAGTGAACTCCCCAAGTAAATCGATCACATGATACAGCTGAGTCCACAGCAAAAACAACAAATTACATTTATATAGCGGTTTATGTAGGAAGGACATCCCAAGGCACTGTACATGTTCCTCCAGGAAGATAGTGTGCATTCCTTTGCAGACGCAGAAATGTCTATGTATAGGTGGCATATATGAAACTCAGTCTGGATTGGATATTCTTAAGCACGGTGATGGGGTTTTCACATGTGTCAATATATGGCTGACCAAAAAAAGGACTGCCTGGGTCAAGCTGCTACCTGCATTCATCAACATTTAGGACACACAATGTGGATCAGCAGAAGTATCTCAGGCCTGGTTTTGATTAGGTAACTTTAGCCAATTCTCAGTCAGGGTAACTGATGTATGTTTGGCTTACAGCCCAATTGTGAGTGGTTCGCAAGTAGCCTGAAGCTGCTGTAGCCTGGTTTGCAATATCTATCGGGAATCAAACATGGAAACAACTCTGCTTGCAAATGAAAACAGAAAGGATAACATGTACATAAAAGTGAATTTTCTCATCTTTCATGTGACCTCACTGCACACTCACCTTTACAAGCTCTTTGGTTTCAAAGGGTAGCTTCCTGGAGCTGTTCAGAACCTCTGCACTCTGGACCCGAACCTCAATCTCACCTGTTACCATGTTCTAAAACACAAAAGTTCCATGAAATATCTAGCAGTGTAAAAAAAAAACAAAATATTTATGAATCTTCCAATAGTGGCTGTTCTAAACCACATCAAAATGTGTTGATTCCTTCAAATTAATCAGCAACATAACATCTCAGGTTGCTCACTCAGATAAAGCTTGAGCCCAGGAAGTTCTGGTGAGGTCACTCTGTCCTTCACATTTTCAAGGTCAATACAATGAGTAACCTGTCTGAAGAATATCCTTCAGGAAAGAAACATTAAGCGGCTTCTCAAGAAGAGGAGAGGGATCTTTACTCTGCAAATGTCTATCTGTACCTGACCTGGGAGTGTTTGGCACTGACACTGGCTATCTTAAATAGGAGAGTGAATCACTTCCAGCAGATGCACAACGGGCCAAGTGACTTGTTTCTGTGCTGTGATTTCTGATGTTTTGCAATTACTTTGACAATCACTAAGATTTTTCTTGTTGTCATCAAAGAGACATATTGAGCAATGCCATGTCAGGTATAAAATAGTCAAATGCAATGCAAAGCTTACTCTTTCTAGTCTAACAATAGGGAAGAAATTCCACCTGGGTCTAAATTTACTCTATTTTATTTTCATTTCAGAGAATCTAGAATTTAACAAATTCTCAAATACAGTCTTCATTTTGAAGCTACAGAACTGCAGCCGTGGCTGTCTTTCTTTGCTCGAAACTCCTGGTCTCAAAGGGAGTCACGAGGCAGAGATCAGATTGGGACTTGGTCTTCATGGGGCAGAGGTTTAGGCACTTTACCGCAGGGACTTAATCAGCTTAGGCTATTCCTGTGGAATTCATACTCAGTCGGTGTAATTAGGCTGGGACCCACTACAAGACCTCACTATTACACTCTTCTATCCACCACCTCATACTAACTGGTTCAAGAACAAAACATTGGCAGGATATCACAATAGCAAGGGCACTGATAGCTACCATTGTACAGCCAAAAAATGAAGAGTTGGATTGAATGTAGAGAATAATTCTTAAAAACTGCACTTGGCTTAAATCAGCGAGAACTTTAAACCAATTTGGTCCCTTATTGTTGTACATAACTGCCTTGAGCAAGCAGCACTCTTATAATGCTGAGCCTTTGTAAAAAACATAAAACCCTGTCAGAAAAGGTATTCAAGCCTGGAGATGGAGGAAGTACTCAAAACAGAAACTGACCGGATTGGCTTGTCCTGATGGACGAGAGATGACTGTTCCTGTAACAGTAATTACTGACTCCAGAGAAATGTCACATAGGATCTTCTTGAGCTGTGCAGCAGTCTGCAGGGAGAACAAGTGAATAAATTCAACTGTAACATCCAATTCAATGCTAACACTGCCTCCAAGAAATTCAGTTTCCTCATGGGGACCATCACTCACATTTTCTTGTGTTGTTCCAACACAAATATTGATCCAAGATTAGTTTATCCCTATATGTGCCTTACATAACTCTAAAAGGTTCCGCCTGAAATGTAGGTTATCCAGTAATTTTTCATGGCTTACCCCTCCAACATGGGGATCATTCAACCAATTGAAAACAATGTTTAAAACTATTAACAATGAATAACAGTGGGTAAACCACCAAACAAGTGCATTAATTCAGTGCTGCTGGTCTAAAAGACCATATTCTATCTTGGCACTGTGTCTATTCGGATCTAACTGTGGTATCAGACATTATTCCAGACATTTCCCTACTTGAAGGGAGGAAAAGACATAAAATTAGAGTGAGACTGACATCAGTTACTCAAAAGCCCCTTCTGATGCCTGACAGGCCTTTTATCCCTCTACGGCGCATGGCAAGAGAAAATAACAAGTATAATTCGAGAGTGGGGAAGAGTGTGCGGAAATCATAGAATCTTTCTGCACAGAAGGAGGCCATTTAACCCATCTGTGCTGGCTCTTTGAAAGAGCTATACAACTAGTCCAACTCTGTCTTAGCCTTCCCCATAGCATTGCTAAATTTTCCTTTTCAAGTATGTATCCAATTCCCTTTTGAAAGTTATTCTTGAATCTGCGTCCACCACCCTTTCAGGCAGCGCATTCCAGATCGTAACAACTCTACGTGTAAAAATAATTCTTCTCATCTCCCCTCTGGTTCTTTTGCCAAGAATTTTAAATGTAATGCTTTTGGAATAACATGCTCTAAATGCGAAATGAGTTGCTGCACTCCTCAAAGAATAATGTAACATCAAATGTGTCCTACACCCAGAAATGCCACTGTATTCCATGTCCCCTCCCCACCAAAATGTCTCCACTCTAACTCTACTTTTTTTAACTTTAATCCTTGCATTTGATATAGCGTTTTTCACGTCGGGAGGATGTCCCAAAGCGCTTCACAGAATAGACTGTAAAGTGAATTGACTGTATATTTGTGGGCGAACGCGGCAGCCAATTGCGCACAGCAATGTCCCACAAACAGTCGTAGATTGAAAATGACCAATTTATTATTGTTTTGTTTTGGAGGGATTATTATTAGGCTCTGTGTGGAGTAAGGAAACTTGCCCAAGGTTTCGCCCTCTGCCTGGAATTGAACTCAGGTTTCTCACTTGCAAAGCGAGTGCTCTAACCACTGAGCTACAGGACTCCACACTTACCTCTTCCTGTGGTAAAATAATCTGTATCAGACCATCAAAGTCTCGCAACACAATGAAGAGATCTTGTCTGAAAGAAAAACACTGTGTTACTGGCATACAGGACAAAATATAGCATTTTATTTCTTCTTTCTGAATATTTTCATCAAATGTTAAAGTACAGAAACTATTCAAAGTCTCAGCTGGTGTTTTTCTTCCCCTTTTCAAAGGGTAATTGGATAGGTACTTGAAAAGAAAAGAATTGCAAGGCTATGGATAAGAGTGGGGGGAGTGGGACTAGTTGGATAACTCTTTCAAAGTGTCGACACAAACACAACAAGCCGAATGGCCTCCTTCTATGTTGCATGATTCTATGATTTCACAGTAGCCAATTTATATAATCCCATTCTGCTCTCTACCCATACCTTTTAACATCCCTCTTTTCTTTTTCTTCCATTCCCCCAATACTATACAGTATTCATATTGCTGCTCGCTCCACCCTCTCTGTCATCACTGAACCTATCCCTCCATCAGACAGCCAACCTCCTCCCCAAGTCACAGCACTAACAGCTAGAGTGACACTGACTGAGCAAATGGACATGTTCACCTATATCAGTTGGTAGATTTTGAACCTGGTCACTGTTGAAATGCATTAGGACCTGGCACAATCTACAAAGTAGAGGGGGCAAAGAAGACTGGAGGGGAGAATGAAAGTGGTATTTATTAAGTTATCTTATGGAAAAATCTCTCAAAGTCCACCAAAGTCAAATATTACATGTAAATGTCATTCAGTTATTTTTGATCAGATTTGTGATCCATTGATAATAAACTGATATTGTTCTAGAATTTCAATGCTGAAGTACATTCCCCATCCTCACAGATGGTCAGCCTGTGGAGTGATATATCATACCTCCGATACTGAACCCAGCCACACAGTGTGACCTCTTGTCCGATGTGAACAGCACGAAGCTCCCCGCAGGTGTGTGTCCGAAAGACAAAACTGTTCAAATCTAATGGAGTGAGAGTAAAGGAATTAAATAATTATCTTTTGTGTATGTTTGCGTATACACAGAGCATTACCTCCAATACTAGTTACGTTCAAACAGAAACATAATCCTCAATTCAATGCTACATTAATCCAATGGCGACAGGAGATGTCTGTGGAACCGTACCCCAGTAGAAAAGCAGTTGTGATGACAGCTGGTGAGATCATGTCAAAACAACACCTTCTTTCCGGTCGCCACCGCGTGGTTGAGAAGCTGTTTGCTATCTTGTGCTGGTTGTACTCTGCCATCTGCTGGCCATACAAATTGTGCAGCTACTTGTTGCCTTTCCAGTTTTGAATCCCAGAATGTCCTGTTATATCAATAATAATCCTTGTATTTTAGTATAACTATATATATATATATATATTCCCAGGCAGGGCGAAACCTTAGGCAAGTTTCCTTACTCCACATGCCTCCAGCAGTAAGTAGGAAGTGGGTTGTTAGTCAAATGGCGAATTCTGGGGTAATAATCCCTCCCCCAAATTAAAAAAAATGATCATTCAATCCACAATTGCTTGTGGGACATTGCTGCTATGTTTTGCCCATAAATACACAGTCAATTGACTTTACAATATATTCTGTGAAGCGCTTTTGATTTGCGAGAAAGCTTGCCAGACTAGATCAGGCACACCTACGCAATGCCTCTTCTTGTCCAATAACGTGCTAATGTTCACTATCAAGGCTCACCTGTGAATAAGTGGCCATTTAGGAAAATTTCATGGGTTCGTACATCTGCTACAGCACATAGTACAATAAAGTTAAAGCTCTTTTAATACAAGCACTTCATTTTTTTTAAAAAGGATACACTTTACAACTCTTCACAAAGCTGCATTTACTATTAGTTAAAATCAAAAGTCAATCTATCTGTAGTGCTCAGAGAACACTGTGCTCCTGAAAAGAATTGAATTCATATTTATCTTATTACTTATTGTATAAACTGCAATCCACGACTCTTTGTGGGACACTGCTGCGCGCAATTGGCTGCCGCATTTCGCCCACAAATATACACACAGACAATTCACTTTACAGTGTATTCTGTGAAGCGCTTTGAGACGTCTAGAAGACGTGAAAAGAGCTATATCAAATGCAAGGATTATTATTATATATATTTATTTATACAGAATAAAATATGAGTTCCCATCCACCAAATAGTGAGCTGTCAAAGTAGTCAAAACAGTGCCACCATGGAATGGTGTCAATTATTGTCTATACTTTCCCTATCGAGGACGGTTCTTGGACACCCCCCACCCCCCAGTGGTCAATGACAGAGTTACACTTAACACATATCTCTTTCATTCTCCCCTCCAGTCCTCCTTTTCAGAGTAGAGTACTAGCTGTAGCCTCAAAGCTGATTAACCAAACACTTTATTTAACTCAATGGCATAGAAGGAAAATTGTTCGTTAAAAATGTTCTTTTTTCCCTTGCATGAAAGTATTGGGAGCATATTCTGGTTCAATTTTACAAAGCCATGGCTTCCAGAGTCTCTCATTCCAAGCGTGTATAATGCTTATGATACTCTTCACATTGGGAGAGCGTCTCAGAGCACTTCACAAGGTATACTGTGAGGTGACATTACTATGTATTGTGCAGGTGAACGTAGCAGCCAAATTGCACACAACAATGTCCCATAAACAGCCATGAAGTGAATGACCAACGATGGAGCTTAATGCTGCCTTTACCCATTTAGCCATTGCATTAGGTAAAGCCATAAAAAATGTCTTGAAAAGTCTTAATCATCTCCTCTAACCCCTCCAAAAAAAAATTAGTTAGCACTGTAATAGACACGTTATTAATAGACGTGTTATTAACCAATGTAAGTGACAGAGGACTCACCTGGGTTTTCCCTCACAGCGGCAAGGGGGTAATTTGGAGACAAATTCTTCAGAGTTTGGGGCTGTTTCTGGCAGCGAGAGGTGCAGATCTTGTTGAATCCCACTGAAAACGCCAAATATTTCCCACGGCTACCAACCAGGGCGCGTTTCAGCACTGCTCCCATTGCTTGTGCCATTTTCTATCGTGTTTATATTATCACACACACACACACGCACATATATATATGTGTATCCAAACGCAGAGTATATATATTTTTTTTAAAAAAAACAACGCTCGGAACGGTTTGCTGAGAGCACCCAGTGGAGAGGTTAACGCGCAGCGCCTCTTCAGCAGTTTATTTCCCCGCGTTTCGCCCGCAAACTACGCAGTCAAGCGACGTTACAGTATAAACCCTGCGAAGCGCCTCGAGACGTCTCGACGGGTGGGGGGGGGGGAGGGGGGGAATGGGAATAAGGCGCAATATCAAATGCGGCGATTATTATTATTATTATTAGTAGTAGTAGTAGTATTTTGCAGTCAGGGGAGCAATCCCAGGGCCACACAACCCCCCTCTCCCTCTCCCTCCCTCTCTGAGTGGTGGGTTATATTTCTGGCCTCGGGCAGTCTGCAGCCCTGACAAGTCCTGTAATGAAGAGTCAGGACCCCCCCCCCCCCCACACACAAACCCCCCCCACACAAAAAAAAGGGTCGCGGCATTAAATAATGGCGCGCACTACAGGATATTATTTAAATATCCTATTAACTTTACAACGCTTGGGGTCGTTTTCCCGGGAGCCGAAGCCTCTCACACCGTCCCTGTCACCCCCCACCCACCACCCACCGGGGTCTCTCTCTCTCTCCCGCTCTGTCACCTCTGACCCTAACAACAGACCGAAGCAGCCGAGTACCCACCGCTCCCCCCCACCCCCCCCATCCACTCCCCGCGCGGTTTCGACGCTCGGCTGCTCCAGCCTGGGCCCAGGCCGCGCGGTGCGAGTCGGGAGGAAACATTTGAACTGAAGGGACCTTCCCGCCCGCTCTGCCTCACCCGCACTGCAATGGCGGGCGGTTTGTGAGGAGGAGGAGGAGGCGGCGGGTGGGGAGGGCTCCGGGAGCCGAATCACCGGTGAGTGTGTGGGGTGTTTTTTTTTTTTACAGTTACACCCCCAGTGAGTTCGGTCTCTGTGTGTGTGTGTCTGTGTGTCTGTGTCTATCCGGGACCCGAACCTGCGTGGAGGGCGCCAGACTGCTGTTGGTGTCTGAGATCACTGGTGTCTGGGAGGGGTGTCTGGTGTGTGTGTATGTGTGTCTGGGAGGGGTGTCTGGGGTGTGTGTGTCTGGGAGGGGTGTCTGGTGTGTGTGTGTGTGGGGTGTGTGTGTCTGGGAGGGGTGTCTGGTGTGTGTGTGTGTCTGGGAGGGGTGTCTGGGGTGTGTGTGTGTCTGGGAGGGGTGTCTGGTGTGTGTGTGTGTCTGGGAGGGGTGTCTGGTGTGTGTGTGTGTGGGGTGTGTGTGTCTGGGAGGGGTGTCTGGTGTGTGTGTGTGTCTGGGAGGGGTGTCTGGTGTGTGTGTGTGTCTGGGAGGGGTGTCTGGGGTGTGTGTGTGTCTGGGAGGGGTGTCTGGGGTGTGTGTCTGGGAGGGGTGGCTGGTGTGTGTGTGTCTGGGAGGAGTGGCTGGTGTGTGTGTGTGTGTCTGGGAGGGGTGTCTGGGGTGTGTGTGTGTGGGGTGTGTGTGTCTGGGAGGGGTGTCTGGTGTGTGTGTGTCTGGGAGGGGTGTCTGGGGGGTGTGTGTGTGTGTCTGGGAGGGGTGTCTGGTGTGTGTGTCTGGGAGGGGTGTCTGGGGTGTGTGTGTGTGTCTGGGAGGGGTGTCGGGTGTGTGTGTGTGTCTGGGAGGGGTGTCTGGTGTGTGTGTCTGGGAGGGATGTCTGGTGTGTGTGTGTGTGTCTGGGAGGGGTGTCTGGTGTGTGTGTGTGTCTGGGCGGGGTGGCTGGGGTGTGTGTGTCTGGGAGGGGTGTCTGGTGTGTGTGTGTCTGGGAGGGGTGTCTGGGAGGGGTGGCTGGTGGGGGTGTGTGTGTCTGGGAGGGGTGTCTGGTGTGTGTGTGTGTGTCTGGGAGGGGTGGCTGGTGGGGGTGTGTGTGTCTGGGAGGGGTGGCTGCTGTGTGTGTGTGTCTGGGAGGGGTGGCTGCTGTGTGTGTGTGTGTCTGGGAGGGGTGTCTGGTGGTGTGTGTGTCTGGGAGGGGTGCTGGTGTGTGTGTGTCTGGGAGGGGTGTCTGGGGTGTGTGTGTGGGAGGGTGTCTGGTGTGTGTGTGTCTGGGAGGGGTGGCTGGGGTGTGTGTCTGGGAGGGGTGTCTGGGGTGTGTGTGTGTCTGGGAGGGGTGTCTGGGGTGTGTGTGTGTCTGGGAGGGGTGTCTGGGGTGTGTGTGTGTCTGGGAGGGGTGTCTGGTGTATGTGTGTCTGGGAGAGGTGTCTGGTGTGTGTGTGTGTCTGGGAGGGGTGTCTGGGGTGTGTGTGTCTGGGAGGGGTGTCTGGGGTGTGTGTGTCTGGGCGGGGTGGCTGGTGTGTGTGTGTGTGGGAGGGGTGTCTGGGGTGTGTGTGTGTGTCTGGGCGGGGTGTCTGGGGTGTGTGTGTGCCTGGGAGGGGTGGCTGGTGTGTGTGTGTGTGTCTGGGAGGGGTGGCTGGTGTGTGTGTGTGTGTCTGGGAGGGGTGTCTGGGGTGTGTGTGTCTGGGAGGGGTGGCTGGTGTGTGTGTGTCTGGGAGGGGTGGCTGGTGTGTGTGTGTCTGGGAGGAGTGGCTGGTGTGTGTGTGTGTCTGGGAGGGGTGTCTGGGTGTGTGTGTGTGGGGTGTGTGTGTCTGGGAGGGGTGTCTGGTGTGTGTGTGTCTGGGAGGGGTGTCTGGGGGTGTGTGTGTGTGTCTGGGAGGGGTGTCTGGTGTGTGTGTCTGGGAGGGGTGTCTGGGGTGTGTGTGTGTGTCTGGGAGGGGTGTCGGGTGTGTGTGTGTGTCTGGGAGGGGTGTCTGGTGTGTGTGTCTGGGAGGGATGTCTGGTGTGTGTGTGTGTGTTTGGGAGGGGTGTCTGGGGTGTGTGTGTGTGTCTGGGAGGGGTGGCTGGTGTGTGTGTGTGTGTCTGGGAGGGGTGTCTGGTGTGTGTGTGTGTGTTTGGGAGGGGTGTCTGGGGTGTGTGTGTGTGTCTGGGAGGGGTGTCTGGTGTGTGTGTGTGTCTGGGAGGGGTGTCTGGTGTGTGTGTGTCTGGGAGAGGTGTCGGGTGTGTGTGTGTCTGGGGGGGTGTCTGGGTGTGGTGTGTGTGTGTGTCTGGGAGGGGTGTCTGGTGTGTGTGTGTCTGGGAGGGGTGGCTGGTGTGTGTGTGTGTGTGTCTGGGAGGGGTGTCTGGTGTGTGTGTGTGTGTGTGTGTCTGGGAGGGGTGGCTGGTGTGTGTGTGTCTGGGAGGGGTGGCTGGGGTGTGTGTCTGGGAGGGGTGTCTGGTGTGTGTGGGAGGGGTGGCTGGGGTGTGTGTGGGAAGGGTGTCTGGGGTGTGTGTGTGTGGGAGGGGTGTCTGGTGTGTGTGTGTCTGGGAGAGGTGTCTGGTGTGTGTGTGTGTCTGGGAGGGGTGTCTGGGGTGTGTGTGTCTGGGAGGGGTGTCTGGGGTGTGTGTGTCTGGGCGGGGTGGCTGGTGTGTGTGTGTGCCTGGGAGGGGTGTCTGGGGTGTGTGTGTGTGTCTGGGCGGGGTGTCTGGGGTGTGTGTGTGCCTGGGGGGGTGGCTGGTGTCTGGGGTGTGTGTCTGGGAGGGGTGTCTGTGTGTCTGGGAGGGGTGGCTGGTGTGTGTGTGTGTGTCTGGGCGGGGTGGCTGGGGTGTGTGTGTCTGGGCGGGGTGGCTGGTGTGTGTGTGTGTATGTCTGGGAGGGTTGGCTGGTGTGTGTGTGTCTGGGGTGGCAGCTATGGGTGGGTGGGTATTGTATGTGTGTGTCTGGAATATGTGGTGGTGGGGATTTCTTTTAATTCCAGCTGCCAGTTCATCTTAGCCCACAGCTGGAATCTTTGGTCCAGGAAAGTGACTTCACAAGATGTTTGGATAACCCCACCCTCCCCTCTTCCCATCACAGCTATTTCTTAAATGTTTCCTGTATCCTGGCTTTAAGCACCCTTCCTGGTAACCTGTTCCAGTAGTTAGTAACTGTGTGTGCAAAAATAACTTACTGATGCAATCTGTGCCTCAACCTGTGCTTTCTTGTTCTGCTGCTTTGGTGTAGCTGAAAGCATTGTTCTGAGTTTACTTTTTCAATCCCATTTATCATCTTCGATAAACCAAAAAGGTCCCTCTGACACATCTCTTCGAGGTTGGTGATCTGCATCATATATCTACACAACAGACAAATTATTTGTTTTAATTGTCTGCCAAATCCCTGACTGTCCAGTGCCTTGGAAAGTCCTTCCAACATGAAAGGTGCTATACAAATAAATTTGTTGTTGTTTAATGTAAAGTCACTTTGGAAATCATTATCCCCAGCCCTGTATGATTAAATTGTTTTGTTCCTGATCTATTTCACTGGAGCTTTGGGCTTTGTTTCATTGTGCAGCTTGACTCAAAATTAACCCTTGTGCTCTTTTATTCGAATCAGTTATTTTAGTCTGGATAAATGTAAAATGCAAAGGAGGCTCTTGTACGTCATGTGTTTGATACCTACTGAATATCCTGTTTAGGCACAGTGCACAGACATGGGATGAGAAGCTTGCGAATGCCAACACCAACCTTCGATGGCATTCGCAAGCACAAATAATGAGCACTTAGAAGATCAGGAAGATAACCTGAACCTTTAGACAAGTGTTTGATGGGAAATGTAATTTTCATGGATTAGTGAGAACATTGGCCTTTTTGCTTGCGTTATGCAGTTCTAGTCCGGAAAGTCGCAGTGTAAAGCTAACAACGGGTTAATGATACAAAATGTAAATTACATAAGAAAAAGGTAACATCTGAGTCAGAAGGTTGTGGGTTTCAAGGCCAATGTTGAGATTGTGAGCTCATGATCCAGGCTGATACCGCAATGCAATAACTACTTGCATTTATATAGCGCCCTTCATGCAGGGTAGCGTCCCAGGATGCTTGACAGGACATTAAAAGATCCCATGGCAGTATTCCAAAAGAGAAGAGTTTCTCTCTCTGTGTCCTGGCCAACAATCCCCCAGATAAAATTGGTCATTCACTTCATGATTTCTTCTGCGATATTACTGTACATTGGCTGCCGTGATCGCCCACAAATACAGTCACTACACTTGACAAAAAAAACTGACAAACTTTGAGACATGGACACGATAAGGCACAACATTGAAAGCCAGGATTAATATTGGTATTGCGTAAATGAAATTTAAAAATGTACTTTATAGTTTACGTTTGTCACTTTTAGGTTTAATATGGCAGCGGTGACTCCTACTGAAGAGATTGGACCAGTGCGGATGGGTGTGCGTTTTGCCAATACTGCGGTTTCTTCTTTGACTAGGAGCACAATACAGAGGCACACACCGTTTCGTCAGACCCCTATTAAACGGAAAATTCCTACAAAAGATGTGACAAATGTTAGTATAACCGTTATTTTTTCCAGTCTGGAGACGAGCTAGGGTACATGCAGCAAATTCCTGATAACTTGACCCTGTTTTACCATTTAATGCTGTCAATATCCCTGCTGCATTTATTTTTTTAACTCACTACGCTGATCACTGAACCCTTTTACCGTGGAGTGATAAGTTATCAGGAGTTTACTGTGTATGTGATGACTATCCTTTAAAGCCCCCGCCCTCCCCGTGGCAAGTATGAATAGTTATCAGTCTGCTTATGTCTGCTGATTTTTAAAATTGGACAGGGGAAACTTGCCAGGATGCCTACAGTCTTGGAGATTATTGGTTAGAGCACTTGTCTCACAAGCAACAGTACCTGGGTTTGATTCCCGGGAAAGGCAAAACCTTAGGCATGTTGCCTTACTTCAAACAACTCAGCTTATCTAACAGTAAGTAGGAATCAGGTTCCTAGTCGATTGACGGATTACTTTCAATAATAATAATCCCTTCAAAAAATAATAATATGGTCATTCAATCCATGACTTCTTGTGGGACGTGGCTGCGTTTTGCCCAGTCAATTCATCTTTACAGTATATTCCATGAAGAGCTTTTAAGACATTTCACCGTCGTGATAAGACTCAGTATTTAAATGAAAGCATTATTATTCTATATGGCAGCAGTGGTAGGCTTTCACATTGTTTAAAAACAAGATGCTATTATTCTTTCAGCGATGAGTTTTAAGAAAATCGTGGAACAAACATTTATCAGTCCCCAGTATTACAGCACCTGAATTATCCAGCTCGTTCCAACTCCTGTGCTGTCTTACAACTGTATATAGAACATAGGTGGGTGTGGGTTGTCATGAATTGTCTTCAAGCATTATTTAGCTCAGTAGGATCACAAATAAATTATTAGCAATTACTATTGACTTTTTGTGATCTCCCTAAGTTCAGGGTTGGGACAGCAGCCAGCATTTCTTTACACAGAATAATTAACAACGAACAAATTACGAGGCAGGTTAGTCAAGGGCAGGACCATAGTGCTCGCAAGCATTCACAAGCCACATTTTCAAATGTCAAGAGGAAATTGACTGCAGTACATTACTGTTTTTAAATGCAGGTCTGCTTGCAGGAGAACCCGGAGCAGATTGCATTGCTGCTGCAGAAACAATGGTGCCTGTACCACGTGACTCCTCTGTACAAGTTCTCCTATGCTATGCTGAAGAAGTACTCAAGGGATCTGTCTGTCTTCTTCCATGCTGAGAAGAAAAGACTGGCTGTGGAAATAGGAATCGAGCTCAGCAGCAAGGCTAACTTCTCCATGCTCGCAGGGCTGAAATTGACTGAGCACGATCCCGAGGCAGTGTTCATACAGGTTAGATGGTAATCCAGTTGTAATTGCAGTAGAATGAACATGGAGGAGTTTATGTTTTCATTCATTAGTGACCATGGGCTATTGAACAATTAAAATCCTGTGAAGCACTTTGACACGTTTCAACAATGTGATAAGGTGCTATTATCAAATGCAAGGATTATTATTTTATAAATGATAGTTGGCCCATTTTTACACTGGGCTCAGTGATGTGGAATAAGCAGCATCAGGAGTTCAGTGATATGGAGGAGTAAGCACACCTGTAGAGTAGTAGTGAAATTAACTCCTACCTGGTACCTACTACAATACACCTCAATGCCATAAGCTGGGGGAGGGAAGCAAAAAGTCCTGTTGATCGTATGTACTTAGAAGTATGTGACAATGGCTGAGCACGAGGTTGAGTTTGGCAATGATGCAACTTCTGTTTGATAGCTCAGAATCAAATAAAGCCACTTGGACAAGCTACTGGAGAGTTTCTGCTGCCTGTGGAACCATAATCCTAGAATGGGGGTAGGGTGCCAAACATGTCATGAATTGGAGGAGAATGTTTTTTTTCCCCCTTTGTTTCCACACAGATAAGCAGCAAATCTCAGGTGCCACCGTTGAAAGAGAAGGTGGTATGGACCGGTTGGCTGTGCTGTGTTGATGGTGATTTGGGCTTCCTGGAGTCTCTCCCAGGAGAGTTTATTTGCCTGCCCCTTCTTTTTGTAAATGGCACTGAAACCATAACATCTCTGGTGGCGGCCTGGTTCCAGAAGACTTTTGACTGCTACATCAGTGCTTTTCGCATCAGCTCTGAGAACTTGTGCTGGATGGCTGCTATGTGGGTCAACTGCTTCTCAGGCTCTGTCCAGCGATCTATGGAGCTGGAGTGGACTGTGCCCGCAGTACAACTGACCATTTCACTTACTATTCACCCAGAGGACGCTAAAGCCTTGTGGGATAGTATCCACAGAGACAAAGATGAGATTGCCATTGAGGAGGTGGAGCTTTTTATGAGCAGCCTTCATTCACACTTCCACAGGCATTTTGGAGTGAGGTTGGCAGCAACTCACCTGGTTAAGGTGTCAACAGCTGTGGCATCTGCTCACTGTGATGGAAAATTAAAGGTAAGGAACTGGCACCCACCCTTCCTGGACTCAAAAACTGAATGTTATGCCTTCAAATTGGGTCAAAGTGCTGAGGGAATGAGGAGCATGATCATGGTTTTTCTTCTGTGCCTGGCTTTCCTGGTCATTGAAATGGACACATACTTATTTGAAGTTTCCATGTCCTTGGAAGCATTCATCACCTCCTGCCCTGATTATTCCAATGTCCTCCTCGCTGGTCTTCCTAATTCAATTTATAAAATATAATTCAAACCACTGCTGCGTGTATGTATCCTCATCCGCACCAAATTCCATACCCCCATCGTTCCAGTCTTTACCAGGCTATATTAGCTCCCTCTTCGAGGATGGATCGTTTTCACAATCCTCACACTCGTGTATAAAATCCTTTTATGTTCTGGCACCTCCCTAGCTCCAGCCTTCTTATATCCTACTACCTGCTGCCTTCTGCACATCCCTCGTCCCCTCCGTTCCACCACTGGCAGCTGTGCTTTCAGCCACTTNCCCCCGAGACAATGGAATTTCAGGTGGGGCCAGTACGTGGTCTATGCTCTTAACTGTTGAGAGTTTTTGCTTTTTGAAAGTGTACTTAGTAAATTGTAAAGTGCTCTAAGCCATGGTGTAGAATGGCAGTGATGTTTTTCAGTGTAACTGACTTGACATCACCAGTTTATAGGAGCAGAAAAGACAGACTAGATTGTTGCTGCTTAAAAGGGGTTCACCTTAAGACAAGAATTTGGAATTGCTTCACTCAATGAAAACTGAGTTCTTACTTTGATTAGGTTATTTTAATGCAAGTATTTATTGTAATGAACTGTGCATTTTTCTTGACAGCTGTTCAACAGCAAGCATATATACCAGGTGCTGTCATTCTTAACAGAGCTGGCTTTTCTTCAAACACAATACCAACCTAATCTATCCAGGAATGTGGACTACCTTGACTGATGCTTTGCTGGAGCCCTGAAAGAGGTAACAGGAGGTCAATTTATTCCTGTTCCAGAGATGCAACCAGCTATCCAGCCAAGTGCATGAAATGTTCACTGTATAAAACTGAGTCAATGGATTTGAGTGATGGAGAATGACCATGATTCTCTCAGCAGCATTCAACTTTCATGTAGATGAACTCTTCACACCTCTAAATGAAATGTAGTTCATTCTAGCTAGAGGAGCTCAGTTACAAGGCCAATTTCTCCTTCATCCTTGTGTGGGAGCTGGCTTCTGTCAGTCATCAACCAGCTTGTAAATTGTTTGCATCTATTGGCATCTTACTAGGTATGCAAAATTGTATCAGACATTTTAACACGTGGTGTTAAATAAACTTACTGTTCCATGTAGCTTTCTTTCTTTTAATAACTTGTCAATGCTTACAATAAGCATTTAGTAGTGTTCTGAAATGTTCCCATGATTTTCTATAGGTTCACAACTACATTTTATTCAGCAGGACAAAAGTAAACTTACTCACTAGCTAGTGCCTTCAGTTTAGATAGATATGTACAACAAAATGTTATGACAGTTAAGTTATTAAAGGGAGAAAGAAAGTCTTTGAAGTGACCACCTGCTTTTTTTTAAAAAAAATAAGATGCTCCCAAGTCTGCAGCTGACCAAGTTAGAGCAATTCACTATCTTTAAGATGGACCTCAATAAAGTATCTAAATCCTAAACCAGCAATGTTGACTTCAATTTTTTTTATATTAAAAAAGCAGTTGTTATCAGGGGTTGATTTTTAAACATGAATTAGCAGAGGCAATGCATATTTGAAAAGGCTGTAAAGCATGATATTTGGTGTTGTCATAAAGAGGGGACACTTATACTGGATATATCATGAACTTAACTACCCCAACCTCTGAGGGAGGGCAGTGTCAGATACTTCTGCAAGCAGCAATAATTCATTAACATTTGGTATGAGTACCTTATCACATTGTTGAGACATCTCAAAGTGTTTCACAAGATTTTACTGTCAACATCACCGCCTTGTGAAGTCCTTCCGACGTGAAAGGTGCTATAGAAATGTAATTTGTCATTTCCATATTTTTAGGCAAACAGCAGTTAATTTGCACACAGCAAGATATCACAATCTGTCGTGAAGTGAATGTTCAATTAGCTGGGAATTTTGTTGACTAGGACAGAGGGAGAAACTTTTTTCTCTTTCAATTTGTGCCATGGGATCTCTTAACATCCACCTCAACAGGCAGATGGGACCTCAGTTTATAATCATTACATTGGGTATAGCAGTATCAGGAAGACAAATTGTTTTACGGTTTATACTGTAACCTGTAGTGACTGTGTATTTGTACCACGGTAATGTCAGCTCATCCACAGCACATCGGCAATAAAACAGCACACCTCCAGCACTACATTTGCATATCAGCCAAGACTGAGCTTAAAGACCTGCCATGGGGGCATGAACCCACCCCACCACTGACGCACAGGCAAGTGTGCTACCAACTGAGCCAGGCTGATTTTAGTTTTATCACGCTTAAAAGAAAAATCAAATGAGCCCAGAATATCTATTTATAAACAGCTTTATTTACAGATATATTAAAAGTGCACATAAATCAATCATTTCTCAACTTTTACCTAAAAACCCTAGCAAAGGACATAGCACCTGAAGCTGATTCACTAGCCAAGTACCTCATTCTGTTAGAAATGGAGTCATCATTTGTAAAAGTTACCCATTCTAATGTGATTCAACAGCCATTTGCTTATTTTCTGATTAATGATGAATAATTATGATCTCGTATGAGAACAGCTAGGAATTACTGAGTCAATGTGTGAGAGCCTAATTAACAGGAGATACAAGTATTAACCAGAGATGCTTTTTGCTGGGTATGTTAATTCAACTCACTTGAGGTCACACTTTAAAATCATAGTGAGAGAAAGCTATTAAAGCTATTAATATAAAATGAGGGGGTGGGGGAGGAGTGAGAGGATAGTTTCCTTGCTCAGTAAAGCCACTCCACACTACTGCTCTTACTGTGTTTAAGGAATAGTAAATTCACAGAAATCTCACTGCGCTGCTGTTCTGCAGGCACGGGCCATGTGGCCATGTCCACTGTAGTTATGTGTTCTATAAGAATAGCTGGAATCAAATGCAATTTGCAAGTACGGTCTAGTGTCTAAGGCAGCACAGAGCACAGAGTCTGACATAATTGAGTTTCTTCTAAAAATTACAGGGGGAGAGAAATATTATTTACAAGAATTGCCCCCATTTAGCTTCCAGAACTGCCTCAACCTCCAACCTGACTTCAGAGGCTGTGCTGCAATGGTGCATTTAGTTCGCAACTCCAGAGGCAGCAGTATGAATGAGGAATAATTCTTCAATCTGAACACAGAAGAATTGATTGAAGTTCCCTATCCATTTTTAGCAAAACCAACTAAGATATCAGACCTTCCCATTTGCTCTCCAACAAGACTGGGGAAGCCAACGCAAGTCTGACATTATCACAAACACCAGTTGGAAAGACATAGCCCAACTATTGATCGCCATCGAATAAGACCATTTTGAGATTATGAAAAATGCAATGGAAAAGTTGATGCTCTTTGTATCAACCTACTTATACAAGTAATGGTCCTGATTAAAAGTTAACATTGCAAACATCCTTATATTTTGATGTTGCACAGGGAAATACTAATCATTGCATTTGATACAGCACCTCATCATGTCATCAAGACGTCACAAAGTGCTTTACAGGATATACTGTAAACTATTTTGTGGGCGAAGAGTGGCAGCCAGATTGCACAGAAATGTCCACCAAACACCCATGGACTTAGTGACTTTTTTAAAATTTATTTATTTTTATTTGGGGGATTGCTGGTCAGGACACTGGAGTAACTCTTGTTAGCTCACCCCTTCACAAAGTTAATACTCAATTTCTAAATTTTTTGACCTTTGTTTTTCAGTAAAATCATTTTGTGTGGCGGAGGGAGGGGGGAAATTACTGGAAAAATTGGGAGCAGCGACTGAAAACGGTTTGGAAAACAGTGGCAACAATGCACCCTCACATACCCTATATGTGAAATTAATACTTATAAATGAAATGATTTGGTGAAGAGAATATTGTATAAGGCAAAGATAAAATGGATTATCTGACAGACTAAAACATCAGCTACATGTACACAACATTTTGACCTCACAAATAGGGACACAACCTGGATGGGAACATTTGGCAATGCAGTACTTGAGAACTTGTTTGTACAAACCCACAAAGAAAAAGGAACTCCTCTAATTTCTCCCCACCCAAGAATGCAAAACTCACACATAAATAGTTCAGTAGATCAACCTATCGAGTAATACTGTAGTAAATAACACTCACATGCAGGGTTTACACCACCAAATGTTTTTTGTTGCTACAAAGTCGATGATAAGTACACACGCACAAGGGCACCAGCAATAATAGCACATGCTACCCAACAGGATAAAGCTGTCCTTCACTTTAGCTCAACTAGTGTTACTTGTGTGTGAGTTTTGCTGGGAATTAGGTTAGCTAAGACACAACATCACTACAATAAATAATAATCCTTACATATAGCACCTTTCATGTCAGAACATCTCAAAGCTCTTCAAAGCATTTATAATACTAATAACAATCCTTGCATTTGACAGTGCCCCATCTCTTCTAAACATTTCAAAGCACTTCAAAAGATGTATTATAAAGTGGATTGACTGTATTTTATGGATGAATGTGGCAGCCGGTTTGCACACAGCAATGTACTACAACAGCCATGAAGTGAGTGACCAATTTATTTGATGGCCAGGACTCCCTTCTCTTTTTGAATAGTGCTATGGGATCTTTAACATCCACCTTTTACAATCTCATCCAAAGGATGGCACCTCCGGCAACACACCATCAGCACTGCATTGGAGTTTCAGCTAAGACTATGCAATTTCAAATCCCGACATGGGACTTGAACCCAGAACCTTCAGACTCAAGGGGTGAGATCACTGAGCCATGCTGACATTTACTGTAGTGTAGCGACTGTATTTTGTAGGGAAATGCAGCAGCCAATTTTCATAGAATAATTTCCCACAAACAGCAGTGAAATGAAATATCAAATTTAATTGGGAGTTTGTTGGCCAAGACAACATNAAAAACCTCTCTTTTTCAAAACTACCAAGGGTTCCTTAACATTCACCTGAATAGGACAGACGGGACTTTGGTTTAAAGTCTCATGCAAAGCACGACACTTCCAGCAATGCAGTACTGTGTGCTCAAAGTCCTAGCCTTGGGGCTTGAACTGACAATTTTCTGACTCAGAAGCATGGGTGCTACTAACAAACCAGACTGACACCTAAATAGGTGTTTGCAGATTTCATCTGCGGTTTGGACACAGAAAAAGCAGGGAAAACACACTGTGTGTTGTCTGACCTCCCTGGGTGTTTTTTGGGGGGCAGGTGGAAATGGAGAGGCCTGTACATTGGTAAACTTCTATGGAGAGAAAAGGACAGTGATAAGGATAAACATTAGAATAAGAAGCATTTAATAGTCACAACACTTTATAGTGTATCCTAACATTAGGATACTTATTATCTTAGTTATTGCACAACAAGACTACGTTTGATTTCGCTGAGATTGTAATGCCAGACTGGTGTTAACAGGGTTTGAGAGAAGGCAAGGGAGGCTATATAAAACAGCACCGCTTTAGAAAAGTTTTTTAAAAATTGCAAAGAAATATCTAAGAATCTTTAGCACATGACTGGATAGAAATAAAGGAGTTTGCAAACTGATCTTGCCAAACGGACACTGACAGATTCATCTTTAATTGGGTATCCCATCTTTGGAAAGTTACGATGCCACATAGCAACATAAGTTGGGACTTGTAAATTAAACTATGGAAGAAAACTTGCCTTGCATTCAAATGTCTTGGCTTTCATTTTCAGCCTCCATTGGTTTCCTTCTATCCTCCGGCGGGATTCTGAGTTCCAGGGTAAATGATACAGGTCACAGAGCCAGAGAAGCATTCACTCGGGGATGTGTGGGTGGGAGGGGGCAGAAAGAAGAGGAAACAAAAGTGGAAGATCTGCAAGGTAGCCCATCTAATACATACCACTTAATTTTATTGAGTAGCATTAATATGATGAAGTCTGTGTCCCAGACACCGACCGACCGGTCTTCTGACTGGGGGTAACCAGCAAAAACCAAAACCAGGAAAAACTAAATACAGAAAATGCTGAATAAAAAATGAAACATCTTTAAAACATTGAAACACTACAGGTATGTATAACAATATAGCACCACTTAAAAACTCTCCAGATCAAATTCCACCAAAGCCAACAAGGTTCCTTTGATTAGGCAAGATTAATTCTACAAGATCAAATTCTATTGAAATTCAATTTTATCGTAGTCTTTCCCAATTAGAATAGTCACTTTGTGAATAGTCTCCATCTCTTGCTTCAAACAAAAAAATAAGCCTGTGTATTCATTTCAATTTGAGATAAGTTATTGTTACATAAAATATTCAATCCACCAACATCCATTTTATTCACACAGGGATCCAATAAAATATTACAACAAAAATACTCATTACCTTTTATCTGCCAGTCATGAAAATGTTCTCATAAATTAACAGGAGCAAAAAAAAAGCTATGGATCAACCTTTTCTTTAGTGTAAGTGAAATGTAAAAAGATCTGATGAGATGAAACTGATCAAAGATCCAACTTGTACTCATTCAAATGTGAAAACTGTTTGCAAACATGTTTGCCAGCCTGGGGAGGTGGGGGGTGAGAAGAGCCAAAATGGGGGTGAAATGAGGAAGACAATTAATTAAAATTTGATAAGCCATGTCACTTCTGTCAATGACAATAGACATGTCAAGACTGCATTTTGAGAGGATTTTTATCCATGATGTTGGGTATAAATAAGTAAATAAAATTTGCAACACGAATACTACATTCGTTCATCGATAGTACCCCTGGAAGGGGCTTCTTGGTTTTATTAAATTCCAGGAGCACATGACTAGCATTACTCCTACACATTCAGAAGAGGAAACTTATGTTCACTATACTGTACACAAAAAAATTGATCAGAAAAAGATACACCTCAGTAGCTATGTGCAGTTATAGCACTCAGCTTTCCATGGGCGGTGGGAGCGTTTTTCTTTGCTCCAGTTTAACATTCATAAGGATTTCAGCTGTATTGTGTGCGACATTGAAATGGTTTGCTGCCAACTGCAGATTAACTCCAGCGTTAATCATGTCTCCTGCGGCCATTCAGGAATGAAGGGTGTTCCGTCAACTACCAGCCGAGTGCTTGGCGTTACTTCACTTTTCAAATTTCTCAAAACATTTGGCAAAATAGGTCAATTTCATCACTGCCATTCGAGGAGAAACGGCGGTGCAACCCTACATATTCCACCTCTTCCTTCAATGTGGAGGGCCACAAGCCATCTTCAATGAGACTTTCCCCCACACACAAACACATATAGGCACTAATGTGCAATATCCTTAGAAATGTTCATGAGATCTGCATAGAAGTCTAGCTTAATCCACAAGACTTCATTTATTGCACAGTCATTTTTAGATCATTTAGCAGAGAGCACGTCTCATTTTGTTTGGCAAACAACCGTTTCCCACTCAATTAAATTCTTTCCAATCTATTAACAAGTGTCCACTAGCAGCAAAGACTGTACCGAGTTCACCAGTTACCATATGTGAGACTCGCAGTGTGTCATTTTGATTACACCCACTCCACCGCCCAGTCTACGATAGTTCATTCCTCCATATAATCTGCAGTGGTGGGTGGGGGAGGGGGAGGGGAAGAGAGAGAAAGAAAAATGTTTCAATCATGTCAAATTTATGAAGCCTTTCAAGTGGAATCATAGCCATTTAAGTTGAAATTTTAACCTTATCCCAACTGTACCTATTCAGTAAGGTTCAGTACAGTAAGACCACCAGTTCTCTCTCAGAAACCTCCAAGAACTGGAGAAAGGCACAAGAACCCAAAACATTTTTCGACTTGTCATATACTGAATGTGCATTTACAACAACTTGCATTTACGTCATGTGGGATAACGTCTGAGCGATTTACAATGGTGGGTAGATACTAAGCGGAAGGGGGGTGGCAAGAGGAGGAAAGAACCATTAGCACAGATTCTAAGGCAGGATAGTAACAGAATACTATCTATCAGAAGACAGATAAAGATGGCATCAAGCGAGGTAATGTGAAACCAAATAATTTGGAAGTTCGCCACTGATGATACTGCAGAGAGAGCAGGGAACAAGTAGTAAGTCAAGTTAGCCGAGCAGAGGAGTGTGGTAGGAGGAGTTTGGAAAGATAGAGAGGTGCTTGGCATGTTGGAATTATTCCGCAAGGGCCTTGAAATTGATCCATTGAGAGAGGGACCCAGGGCATCCTGGTGAGGACTGGGCTGAAGTATTTGGTGTGGGTGAGGATGCAGGCAACAGTTTTAAATGAGATGAAGGTTATGGATGGGGCACTGGAAAAAGCCAGTCAGGAGGTGATGCGATTAAGGTTTTTGGCGGTATTTAGAATGAGATAAGGGCAGATAGGCAATACTGTGGACGTGAAGAAACAGTTTTGGTCAGAGGTTGGACATGAGGGAGAAAGGAGAGCCCAGGCCAAGTCATTTAATAATACTTGCATTTGACGTAGTGCCTTACCGCATTGTCAAGACATCTAAAGCACTTCACGGGATATACTATAATGTGTAGTGACTGTGTGTTTTTGGGTGAACAGCCATGGAGTGAGTGCCCAATGTTATCTGGGGGAATGTTGGCCAGGACATCAGGACAGACAGATGGGACCTTTAAGATCTCAACCGAAGGACAGCACCCCTGACAATGTAGCACACCCGAACACTACAATGGAGTGCCAGCAGATCTACAGCATTTGCATTCCAAGCCCTGACATGGGGCTGGACCCCACAACCTTCTCTCTCTCTCAAAGGCAAGGGTGCTACCAACTGAGCCAGCCTGACACACTTACTGACTAAAGCCAGACTGTGCGTGTATGTGTATATATATATATATTGTATACACACACATATATATATATTATATATATATATATAAAACAGAGCTTCAGATTCAGTCACTAATATTTAATCTAATTTTGTATTGTATGGATCTTCAGGTGATTGTCCAGGCAAAGACTGGCTCTAATTTCTCTTCTCTCTCTGTGGGAAAATATCCGACCTTAGTCAATCAGCTGGAAGGGGGAGGGGTAAAGAATAGAAAGAAGAGGAATTCAAACCAGCTTCCCACCATTCTGTAACCACAAGTTGGTGCTCCAAAGCACTACCAATAATTGAAGCAGATTACATGCAGCAAACACGTTACCTGTTTGAACTAGATGCCTTGGACACTTACCTCCACGTGTTTGCATCAGGATCATACACTTCAATCGTTTTTAAATAAGTGGTGCCATCAAACCCACCCACTGCCATCAACTGGCCATTAACAACTGCAAGGCCAACCTGTGGAGCAGAAACACAACTATGTGTAACCGGACTTCAGTTACTAAACACTTATCTGCACATTGCATATCCATGAACAGAACCTGGATACTTTCACAATAGAATATCAATGTGCATTTATGGAACAATGAATCCTTTCATCACATAGCATTATCAATAGATTACCAATTGTTTAAAATTGTCCCAATTTACAATTTGTCAATGTAGTACCTCAACCATTTCTTGGATGTGGTAGGAGGGGTAAATATTTTGTCAGCATAGAAACAGTGACAAGATTTCTCTTTTTGTCATATTTGGTCATCAACCACAAATCAACTGAACACTACATGTTCCTCATCTTTTTGATGCTTCATGAATCAGATTCCAGTCAAAACACAACAATGACTCTCTAAAATTCATTCTTCCTAGGGAGGTGCCTCTCCAGTATAAGCTCATCCACCAACTACAACTATTCCTCAACACATCTGATCAGTGCACAATGCATTATGCCACTTCAAATCCTGCTTAAGTATGTATGCATTTAAGTCACCACTTACAAGAAAATTTCAACTATACAACCAGTTCTTAGATCTCATTACAAAACTTGAAAGTGAAACCTTGAACTTTTGTGTCAGCCTGGCTCAGTTGGTAGCACCGCCTCCAAGTCAGAAGGCTGTGGATTCAAGCACTGCATCAAAAATTGAACTCACATTATCTACGATGACAGTCTAATGCAGTGTTGCAATTGTCAGAGGCGCCATCCTTCGGATGAGACTGAGGCTCCACCTGCCTGTTCAAGTGGACATTAAAGATCCCAAGCATTGGTCCAAAAGAGAATGGAGTTTCTCCCAATTTCCTGGCCAACAACCCCCAGATAAAATTGATCATTCATTCCATGGCGATTTGTGGGACATTGTTGTGTGCAATTCGGCTGCTAAGTTCACCTACAAATGCAGTCACTCCACATTAAATCTTGTGAAAGGTTTTGTGACATTCTCCTGGTGTTATACCAAATTCAAGGATCATTATTAATGAATGGAAAAAAATGAGTTCCTGTTCAGGACATTTACCCTTCTCATTGCATTGTGATCAAGTTGGCAAGCTGCACTTCACAAAGACACCACAAATACTGTAACTGAATATTTGCATTGGCAATATTGAATGTCTGCCTTCTGGACGTATAAAAAAAAATCCTTCAATGACTGACCGAATTCCATAAGCTACAAGTGACCACAGACAGCTTTGTGAAGGTCAATTCAAAAGTAGACTTTTTTTAAAAAAAATTGTTAAATTTCAATTTTTGCGCTGAGGGACAAACCAAGTCTGAAGCAACTACCTCCTCATTCCTGTGCAGTAATGTATCTGGCAGCTGCTCAGCTCCTCCCCCAAGTTGGCATGGTTAAGACTATGAATGCACTGCCTGAAGTATAAACATGAATCTAGTCTGTGGCAAAGGGCATTGTGCCATACTACGCACTCAGTTCCATTATTAGTTTAATAGAATCAGAAGCTTGAAATTGCTCATGTCATGCTCCTAAAATTTAAGATTGTGCAGAATTCTAATCAATTCCTATATTTATTTTAATTTGGAAACTAGTTTTCTGCAGGACCCAAAATGAACTCTGGAAGTCAAGCTTCAAACTAAGCCAATTTCAACTTTTTTCCAACTTTTTGTACTAAAAGTTATTTCTGTAAAAAATTTGGTCACTCAAATCCACGGCTGGTTGTGGGACACCGCTGTGCACAATTTGCTACTGTGTTTCGTCCACAAAATAGTCAATTAAGGTGCTATACAAATGTAATCTTGATGTTGTTTACAGTATATTCTGTGAAGCGCTTTGAGACCCATCTTTCTTCTCTTTTGCTGCTCTCATGTCTGTCTCCCTTTCTTTGCTTACAGGCTTGTTCTGGGCACAAAGGATCAAAACCGCAGAATTTCATAATGTGAACTTTTTAGTCTTTGGTATGAAATAGGTGGAGTTACAGGTAGCAGATTCCTCAAATGGCACCAGGTTTAATATCAAAAATATACAGAAAAGGCAAATACTAGTTGCAGTACAGAATCTTTATTAAAGCAAGCAAAAATTTGCTTAACTAAAAATTTCTAGTAAAATTACTATTAGAGCCAGAGAGAAATTGTTAGGGCGCGATTGTGTAATTCTTAGATAAGATTAGAAGACGTGAAAAGCGCTATATCAAATGCAAGGATTATGATTATTTAAAAGGCTAGTAGCGACTCACTGGTACAGTGGTGCAATTTGGTTGCAAATTAAGCAGTTTACTTTTTGTTGATTTGTCAATGTAATGTTTTATTGTTAGCTAAATCATAACCTTTGAACAAGGAAGCCTGGGATAAACCGTGTAGTCCACAGGCCTGTCAGTGCTCTATATGACCAACACCACTACAGCTCAAACAACAACAGATGAACATGAGCTAAGACAATGCTCTGAACGCAACACACAGCTGCCATGCATGCAGGAATACCCCACAGGTTTTTGAAAGATCCATTGGCAATTTTGTTTTGGGATCCTGACCAAACCAGAAATGACCGTAGCTTTCCAGCGACTGTACTCACCCCACTCCTGCGCGATGTCATGGCTACCACTGGAGACCACTGGTTAGTTCTGGGATTGAACCGCTCAGCGCTGCTCAGCTCTGTGGTATCATCTCGACCTCCAACAGCATAGATCATGTCTTGGTACACAGAACATCCAAGATGCTTCCGTCGTGTTCCCATTGGTGCTATTGTGTGCCAGCGATTTTCCTGTGGACTGTAGCGTTCAACTATGGACAGAATAGCACAAGGCAGCATTCATCAAATCCTATTCCTTCTGGGGTAGCCTCACTCAAGAGGCAGCATTCTCACCTCTGAGTCAGAAGGTTGCAAGTTCAAACCCCACATCAGGACTTCAAACCTACAGTTTAGGTTGATGCCATGACAGTGCTGGGGGAGTGCTGGACATGAAACTGATCTGTGCATTTTGACTCTCAGTTCCCCTTCATGTCCTCCTGCTCAAATTTGATTCCATTCATCATTGTTCTTTTTGCAATATTTGTAATTTCAGCATTAAATCTCATTGGCTAATTGTTGCATATTTGCTTAAGTTTAAATCAACTAACAGAATTCATCTTCACATAAAGAAAGACTCACCAGTATTGAGGGGCGAGGTACCATCAGATCCACCAACAGCATAGAGAAATCCACCTAATACAGCAACTGCCACACCAAGCCGCCTGGTACTCATTGAAGCTACACGGGCCCATTTATTCTCTTTTGGATCATACCTAGAATGGAAATATTTTTGGCTCCATCACCACTTGCAAAATTATATAAAACTAAAAAAATATCGAATTTCCAACCATCTGCACTTGAAGAACTCTCAGCTGAGCCAATTAAATATATATTTTTTTCAAATTGGAGCACTGAAAGATACAGACCAATGATGATTAAATTAAAAGCTCTTGCCTTCTTCAAAATATTATTGCAAGTGCACAACTCTTCTCTTGGTCAGACTACACTGAGTAAATTAACAAATTCTCCCACCATCACTGGATGTTTGGCAGTGTATTGATGTAGAAACGTGGTGTCCGTCTGGCTCAGAAGGTTGTAGGTTCAAGCCACTTTGAGCTTGGAACTTTGAGCTTACAGTTGAGGTTGGCACTCCAGGATGCCGTCCTTCAGATAAGATGATAAAACCAAGGTCCCGTCTGCCAGTTCAATGGGACGTTAATGATTCCAAGGAACCATTAAAAAAGAGAAGGGAGCTTCTGGTCAGTTTCCTTTCCAACAATCTTCCAGATAAAATTGGTCATTCGCTTCATTGTTTTCTCTGAGAAAATTAGCTGCCACCTTCACCTACAAATATACTTTACAGAAATTTTGGAAGACACTTTGAGAAGTTTGAGGTTGAACATGATCTACAACAGTGGTGGCCAGCCACTGGTCGGTCTATTTTGGTCAGCCAATCAAATATATTTCTTTTCATTGAATTTTTCTTCATTTATGGCCATCAGTAGCTACTGGAATCAAGGTATTGATTTAGCGCGGACTTGTCTGGACTGGTGCGGTTTTTGGCGTGCCACTTTTGGGGTGTCAAGAAATGGCTTGCGAACACCCCCACCACTCCAGGTAGGTCCACGCCAAATCAATACCTTGTTTCCGAAAGCTACGATCCATAATACCCATGATACAGCTATAAATGAAGAAAACTTCAATAACGAAAAATTCATTTGGTTGGCCATCATTGATCTACACCATCAAGAGACTGTTGGAAGTCCAGTAATTTGTACATACATCTGTCCATGTGTGTGATGAGCTTGGTGGCACAGCATACATAAGTGTATCGACTTGCTGTCTGCCAGATCAACAGTCAGGTCAACAGGGATTCAATTCAATTTAGGAAACCGGATCGCGAGACATCTAATCCACTGTATTGCGCTTCCTAGCAGTTGGAGACATAGCAGCCGCAATACACTAATGCAAAGGTGAAGGGGAGAAATGGAAGGCAAAAGTTTTTTTAAATTGCCAATCTTAAAGCAAAGCATCGCTGAAATACCGCAGCCATATTCTACACTAGAAACAATTTAGCAGGAGCCTCGATCCAAACCAGATTCACATCTATTGACCAAACAGGGCAGCAAGCTACCAGCTGAAAGCTGAATAAAACCCATCCAACTAACATCCAGCAGTCTGGTACAAATGCACTATTTATATCACACCCATCATGGTTTTGTTTCAAATACAGAGTTAATTGCTTTCTAATGCAGCGCACTGAGTTCTACAGAAGTAAATCAATAGCAGACAGATCAGTGATTTACTGCCTCACACACCACTGTTACAATTCAGTTCAACATGGTATCTTGTGCGATACGAGGCACTCTCTTCCCAAGTCTCTGCTAACATTTCTGTATAACCAGCCTTGAGAGGATGCACAGGTACAGCATAGGTTCAGTTGCCCTCTATTGGAGAAACACCTCGCCAACACTCAGAGCCTCCCCACCGAGCTCAGAACACACTGCATGAGGGATCATGGCCAGAAACCCAGGTCCTGTCCCTCCACGAGATCACACACTGATACACTGACTTGGCTAAGCTGTTAGACTGCTTGCCACACCATGCGGGGTTAACAGCTTTCAGATCACGTTAGTTAGAAAAACTCAGCTACAAGTTTACCTTTCCACAATGTTCAGACAAGAGACGCCATCCTGGCCACCCACAGCATACAGATACCCTCCCAACACTGCCACGCCAACACTGGTCCGACATGTACTGGTGGGAGCCACGTCGCTACTCCACTGGTTGGTCTTTGGGTCATATCTAAAAGTTTAATTATTGAAAAATTAAAAAAAAGAAGTGTCTTGGTTCAGAGAATGTGTAGTAATAGACTGCTCTGCCAGTGGAGTTGTGAACCCTTATGTTCCCATTTCCAAATGAGTCAATGGGAATTTCAGCTTTCACTCGACTTAGAATGGAAATATAAATGGGTGTTGAGCGTTCCAGAGTGGGAATGGCTGTTGTCTCACCCACCTCAAGACCCAATCTAAGCAACATCAAGTAGGGAAGTTGTGTTGAATCTGAGTAGAGATGTCAATGTGTGTGGGGAAAATAGATCAGAGGGAAAGAAAAGCCTTCAATATAAACTAAAGTGGCCCCAGCTGCCTCCCAGAAGTTGGGAGAAGGATATGCACCTGCTCTCTCAAACCAGGAAGATCAGCCCAGCAGATGAAAGAAAGAAAAAGTATAAAATACACAACAAAACGTCACAAGATAGAAGACACCCCACGAGCAAGTTTTAAACGTGTGAATCTATGTCAGCAGGGTGAAAGTCACAATCAAGTAACTTTATTTTAATTTTTACGAAATAGCCAGAGGAACAGTAACATTCTCAGAACAATTTTGTATACTAATATTTTTGGGTAGAAACCTTGATTTGCTCCGGAGACTTCGAACAAATTGTTTTCACATCCTTCACAGAAAGAAGCGATGCAGAAATATTAGAACCAACCTTTGCAGCTTTTCAACTATACTAAGAACCAGCTGGGTGGAAATCCGATAAAAGCATTGTAAACTGAGGTGGAAATAGAAAAGACAGACAGAGACAGACAGACAGGTAACAACGCTTGTGTGTCCCACTTGTTATTAAGTGCCGGTCAACTATCTAAACTCGCTCGAGTTACAAGTGGCAGGTGAAAGAAGTGCAAATAATGTGGGTTCAGAGCTTCAAAGCTGTTAAGTCCACATTCACAGCTGTGTCCTAAAGTGGACATAACATCTCCTACATGTAAAGATTTTTATAGTGTGGGGCAGATGAAAAATGTGAAAGGAAAAATTAAAGAAAATTGTATTTTAGATTTAGTGCGAGTCCCAGGTGCACGTTGAGATCACACTTTCCAATATTGTGCTGCGTATGAGAATGGCTTTCTGGAGAGAGCTGGGTACAAGCTCAATGTTTCTTTGTCTTTTTTTATTTAATAATTTAAATAATTAAATTTAAATAATTTAATAAAAGCTGCAAAATAAAAGTGTCAGGATGAACATAACCTTTTTTTAAAATGAAAGATATTTTACAAAAGCATGACAAAACATCCTACTAAACAATTCGTCCCAAGGGAGAGTTTGAACTTCTAAGGCTGGTCAGTTTCCAATCTTGGCCACCTTGCTTTTATTTGGAGAGGATTGAATAGTCACCACACGACTGCTCCCATTTATTTCTTGGCTGCAGGCTGAACAGCACTATTGCCAGTGTCCTGGAGCAAGTTACCCAACAAAGGGAGATACGTAGGGGGAGGGAGAGAATTTTTTTTATTTTAACAGTTCTTATAAAACCATGGTTAAGCACAAGCATCCCTGTTAGGAGTAGCAGAGCATTGCTAAACCGTGAACAACAGCACAGCAACAGGAGGAATCGGACAATGTTCACTTCATTTCAATTCATTCCAGGTCTAGAACTAATCGCTACTTATAGCACAGTACATTTACTTTTCCCAAGATTGACAACTTCGAAGACTTGTTATTCATGGTTATTTAGTGGAGGTTAGCAATTAAAACATGAAGCTATTTGAAAAAATCATCTTGTGCATAAAGAACTACAGGGGAAGAATTTGAAGGAGAGCTCCACTATCCTGATCTTTGGACAGAGAATGCGGTTCTATTGGGAATGTACCGCTCAGGACAGGAACCTACCTCTCCACACTGTTCAGATATGAGGATCCATCATGTCCTCCAACTGCATACAGGAGATCATCCAGGACGCTGACCCCGACACCACACCGACGCTTGCTCATGGATGCCACCATTCGCCACTCATTGGTCTGAGGATCGTAGCGTTCCACACTCGAAATGGCATCCCCGCTACACCAACCTCCAACTACAACAACAATTTGCATTTATATAGCAGCCTTTACCCGGGTAGCATCTTGGAGTGCTCAACAATGGCAAAGCTCAACACCAACAAACAGAACAGAAGCCAATTAATGTAACCACTCATTCATTGTTACAGGGTGGTGTTAAAGGAGAGTGTGGATGTGTGTGTGTGGTGGGGGGGGAGGTTTGCAAGGAAGTGATTAATTTCATAGGTAATAAAGGTTATATGTTATGAGATCTTTAAAATTTCAGTTAATCCTCAAACTGGTCAGATAGTAGACATGGATTATGTATCAGTATAGCAACATCTAGTTTGTTAATCAGCATTTGATAGTCTAATACACTCTGGCACAAATGTTATGGAATGATACTGGAGAAGCAACACACAAGTCCATGTTAAGTCATCAATGACCATTTATTTTACTTTTTTAAAAAAAAGAAACGTGGATTAGAAAAACATTAAACACAAAATCTTAAACACCAACCTGCAAACAATACTTCACCACAGCGGATCGGCTTCCGAGGTCTTGTCCTTGGACCCTGCATCAAGGGTCGTTCTTGTGGTAAGAGCAAATAGTTTTTGGCTTCATCAACAAGGTCTCTGTGTGAAGACAATTTGCAACATCAACACTGATGCACTGAAAATGGACAATAATTTGTACCTGAAGAACAATGGAGACAGTGTACAGAATGGGTTCACAGCAACAATTCCTCATACAAAGAGTTGCTGACCTCAGTCAAGCCATCAAGCTATGACAATCAGAACTTTCCCACAAGAAGGCACAGAAAACAGACCATTCCTCTTACAACTCACCAGAGTTGCCAATAAGGAATTATCAGAGGCCCGAAAGGCATTATCTTACTCGATCCCAAAGTCTCACCATCTTCCCTCCCACCCCGCCAGAAAAGAAAAACAAAATTTGCATCACCTACCTCTTTTACTCCATTCTGAATATTTTGCTTTTACTTTTTTTTAATTGCTTCTGGAACAAAATCTGGTCTGAAGCAGTTACCATGACGTAAAATTGATAATAACCAAAAATAATGCACAATGTTTCACAAACGTCTATGCTTGAAACAAAGATCTGAAGGATGGCCTTGTGTCAGTTCAAATGCATCTCATCAGACTGTGCATGAGCTCATAAATGTCCTTTTGGCTTCCAAGCAGAGATGCTTAAATGTTTATTAGTGCATGATTTCACCACAATGTGGCTATAACCACAGGGCAATCAGTAGATAACTTCAGCAACAGGATACTATTGTGTTTGATGTGCAGTAAGGCAGCCACTAATTATTTTTTCCTTGCAGGAACTACCAGAGAAGTGGCTGAACCTACATTGCTTGTTTACTCATTTACATTTTTAAAAAAAAAAATGTGTTCTACATCAGTTTCAGTATAAAAATTATTTGGCCCATTTAATCTCAGGTTTCGGAATACTCTATCCATAAAAAACTTTTTTTTTAAAAAAAATCAGCCATTGTCCTATCTGTCCTTAAACACTCATTCTTGTAACCCATTCTTGTGGTTAGTAACCATGTGTATGGATACTTCATGGTATCAGTCCTCAACCTGTTCTTCAAAACACTGAATTTATGACCAAATTATCCAAAAAGTATTGGGTTTGCTTTCTCCAGTCTCCTACAAGGCCCCCTCTGTGACATTCGTTTGAGATTGAAGAGTGATGGCTTCACTAACCATCCCTTATAGCTTAAAAAGTGAGGCGCAACCTCAATGCCGATGTCCAATCAGAAATGCTCTGTTGTGACCAGAAACGAGAGAGAAAAAAAAACAATTCTCTTGGTGAAACTTCACACATACAATCACATTTTACATCCTGCTTGCTGGGTGACTCTCTAGTGGTAGGAATAAAATATGGAAAACTTGTTTTTCAATTCTGCTAAATATTAATAGAGATACAAGAGTCTAATGTGTAGGAATCAGAAGCAGGGGTGCTGGAGTGAAAGGAAGAGAAACTAAAGTTTTCCCTCAGATTGAGATCCTACTCCCTTGGATTCATGGGTAGAGGCACTGATGGGTTGTAGGCAGACACTAACATACCTGCACTCCTCATCACTCTTAATCAAAGGGTCAGATCCAACAGTGCCAACAAGAAACTTGGGGCTGAGCAGCGGCAGGCGAACGTGCTGCAATACCTAGAGTGACAAAAGCATCCAACAATTATCATAGCCCGAACACATCCCAACCCCACCCACTGCAAACGAGCTACATCAAGACTTGCTCCATTACGTGGTCTGATAAACAGACCATGGAGACCATGCCACAATCCCCAAAATGCACTCACAAACTCAGGCAAAATCACTGTGGGTGAATGAAATGAGTGGTGGGGAAGCAAAAAAAACAGAGCGCCAACAGTAACCACAGTGGAAAGCTAATTTTTTCAGTTATTCAAGTTATTGTCAAGCACTTCCTAGCAACAATGGAGCACGTCAGTTAGCTGTAACTTAGCAATGGCAACACCATTTGTAAAGGGAGAAACTTTAAAACCAGCATTAACCTCACACTCAAAAAATGCACAACATGAATATTTATCTATTTGAACTGTGATGGCTTCTTTGCTGAATTCATTCAGATATGGTGACCACATACAACAGATCAATACTATTCATTGTACATATGGTTTCAGGTAATGGAAGCAATGAATTCCCATCCCACTTTAAAATAAACATCTACAATAATGTGTCCCATTTATGTCTATCCTGAATATAAGCAGCTAATAACACAGCTCTCTTCCCCCTAAAAATAAACTGCAATCATTAAGAAGGATGGTTACACAAGAAACTGTCAGCTTATTCTGCGTCATCCTTCTAGCCAAAAGGGGCCCTGATGTGTCTTTGTGAAACTTCTCATTAGAGTGCGACAGAGAAAAGTTTAACATTGACAATTAAGTTTTTCATTGCCCATTTCCTAACCAATGGAACGCTTCAGAGTAATTATAGCAACAGAAATTTAGAACAAGGATACAAAAAAAAGTAAGCTGCCTGCAAGGATTCTTTTCACATCTGAAATGTATACATTAGTAGTCTTTTCATGAGCAGTCGCGGTACAAATTCATTTTAAATGTAATTCTCTTATACGTGGAGGTTAAGAGAAAATTGGTGCAAATTTGAACACCCCACCCCCATTAATGTGTCATGGAATGACCCAAAGTAGCACAACAGCAACTGCACCAACATTTAAAAAGAGACTTAAAACTGTTTAATACGGGTTTGTGCGGATGCCTGCACCTTGACAACTGAGGAGGAATGAAAATTAGAAGATGATTTACAAGTAGCTTTGCACTAGGTACGAACAGGCAATTACAAAACAGTACAAGTTACAGTGAATCCAAAAAAGGCATTATTTAATAAAGGAGTGCTTCAAATAACATGCTGCTGAATGAAAACATACACTTTATGTAACTTTGATGTGTAATGATTTTTACATAATCTGCGTCTGCAATGACAGAAACAGTAATGAAATAAATGACTCATTCATTCGAATGAACCTGGATGAGTGTGGAGAGAATATTGATTAGAAGAGCAGGAGACCAGCCTAATCTTCGATAGCTATCCAATCGATCAAAACTTCAGTTTAACATCTCACCCAATTCCAATAAGAAAGACTCAGTTATGATTTGAGAGAACTACACTGGCTGCTGTAAAAATGTGGGCAAGGACTAGGTATGGAATAACTTTTTAAAATCAATTTTTAAATCCAGTATCACAATGGTAAAGGATTCCATTTTTAATCTGGACACGGTTTTACCTGTGGTAGTTGGGGTCGTCTCTCCTGGATGCTGTATTTAACCCAGGCCATTACTGCATTGAAGACTTGTTCCTCACTCCGGACATTCAGCTCATCACTGGAGATGATATCAATCAGCTGATTGGCTGGTAGCAACATAAACTCTTCACTTTCCATCACCTGTTGGCCGAAAAAGTTTAAATTCTAAGTTTAAGTAAATAGACACCTCACCTAAAAATGTTGCACAACATTCACCTGAACAGGTAAACATGACCTTGGTTTCATGTCTCATCCAAATGATGGTGCGTCAAACAACGCTCCCCCATGCACGGCATTGGAATATCTGCCTCAACTATGAGCTTAATGTTCCATTGTCTTTCAGAAGGGGGTGGGGATGAAGGACTAAGGATAATCTCTTATTCCTTAACACATTTGATATAGATAGACAAATAGAATAATAAATCAGCAATTCTCTCGTAACTTTAAGTATGTTGTCAATCACTTGACAAATACAAATTAAAGCAAACCACAGGCAAATTAAACTCTACCACAGTCTGAATCATTGCATGACCTAATGCAATTGTTGCATTCCCTTACCATTTATCTTGCTGAGTAACTATAAAGCATAAGTGTCTAATACACAAGTTGCACATTGATTTGTAACTCATGATTCCTGCCAATACATCAGAGAGCAACCCACTGGAGAGCCACTTTCATCTCAATTCTGATTTCTACCCTATCCTCACTGCCCTCCACCTCTGCTGATCCCAATCCCAAACTTGGGTCCAAATCCCTGACCGTCTAGCGTCTTGGGACGTTCCAACATGAAAGATCCTGTGTAATTGTAATTTGTTGTTGTTACTATGGAACTCTTTAATATGAATATGAAGAGTCCATTTCACACGGGTACTTAATGTAAAAAAAACTGAGTTTATGGTTTTGTTCCTACTAGTTTTCTAAAAATTGACAGATGTGAGCCAATTGGGAGGCAAGAATAAGAGTGTTGCTTACAAATCATTTGGCAACTCCAAATTTTGTCATTGCAAAATAATGAAAATTTTAAATGGGTCTTTTGGACTTGCTGTTTTGAATACAAGTAAGCACTACAGGTATAATTGTGAGAAATTAAACTTTAAAAAGGAAAGTTTGTGCGTTAAATAATATCTATTTACCAACATAAACCCTTCGTAATCTAGTCTTTCTCCTTGGTTTTCTCATTGTCCATACTTGCAGGGCTTCCCATGGAGCTCTACATTCATTCAATCCAGAGGATCTATTGCCCTGCAGTAAATTGCTTAACAGATATGCTGATTTAGACTAAACGAGACAAGCATAGCAGCCACACAGCAGGGCAGAATTTTTTTTAATATATATAATAGGTAATTACAATCTACAAATATATCCCTTCACTCCCATTACTAAATGTGGAGAGCTATACATGAAAATTCCATTGGTCCAGTAGAAATGGGCTCCTCCAAATGGAATATGTTGAATAATTACATACCAGTCTAATATTTATCCTTACACTAACAATAAACACATTTTAAACCCAATTCATTTGAATAATGTAAGATCATAAAATCTTACAGGACAAAAGGAGACCATTCGGCCCATCATGCCTTACAGGACAAAAGGAGACCATTCGGCCCATCAGGCATGATGGGCCGAATGGTCTCCTTTGAAAGAGCTATCAAACTAGTCCCACTCACCTGCTCTTATCCTGCAATTGTTTTCTTTTCAAGTACCCATCCAATTACCACAGGTGAAGGTGTTGGGAAGTTTATCAATGAACACAGATCTACATATTACATACTTCCAAAATACTCCAAAACGAACTAGGAGAATGAATCAGTTCAAGATCCCAAATAGCTGTCAGTCAAAGATCAGAATAGATTAGAATGGTTTCATGTTCAAATCTTCACCTGTGACAATTTAACCAGGGGGAGCGGTTGGGGAACAAAGATCACCCTGGAGCAAAATAAAATATTTGGCACATTTCCCACTTCCAGTGATTTGCTGAAATTACTTGCATCTCAGATGATTGAGATGATGGAAATGGACAATATGAGGCGAACAGCATGTAGATAGCAATAACAAGAGTGTTGGCTCAACTCCTGAAGAAGTGCCACTGTGAACGGAACCAGGTATCAACTATTAAAAGCGGAAAATAAATGGACTTTTAAAACAAGAGATTTAAAATGAGTCTTTTGCAAGAACTGTTTTAAGATCATAAAATCTTACAGGACAAAAGGAGACCATTCGGTTTTAAAGATATACAAGCACCACAGGAATAATTATGAGAAGAACTCCCGTTAAAAGCTAAAAGAAAATAGAAAAAGAAAAGATTTGTTGGTTCTAAAAGTATAATCAAGGAAAAGGCTAGATTATATTAGACTAGCTGTACCCGTTTGCAGCTACGCTTGCAACCAAAGGATCCAATATGGAATGTAGATTTCAGTGATACCACTCACAAACCACTTAAAATGCCATGAACACTGCTCTGTGATCAACGATGCTACAGCGCCACTGGGAGTCGACATGGCCACCAGGTGTAACTGCAATGCGTGCGTGCGTACACACGAGCTCTGTGACGCATGATGCCACAGTGCCACTTAGAATCAGCGCAGTCATCAGGTGTAACTGCAGCACAAAACAGCCATACATGTGTAATGAGTTTGGTTAGGTCATAACTCATCAATGCTAGGAGATGCCCGAAAAACAATATGCCCATGACACTCCCAAATGCAAGGTCTTTCCAAAGAGATTTAAATCATGTCTCTACGTCAATCGGTTACTGAGATCATAGACAGACATCGTTGTTTTATTAATATAAGATAGAAGATATACACACAAGCACTATATACACACCCACACCACCACAAGTGCCAACACTCTTTACAAAAGGGATACTGAAAAAAATAAAATTTTATGTGCCTTGGGATGAGTCCTGCCTGACTTCCGATTCAACGTGTAACCCTTCACTGTGGAGGAATCCTCAAAGATCCTGGGAAATGTGAAAATAACATATCTGCAGAGGCAACAATATTTTATCCTCAATGAGAATATAGTACGTCTCAAAATACCTTAACACTGGTTCCAAGTCAAATCAATACTGAAATCTGATCTGATCCAGACAGGGCTATCTATAAGTCATAAACCAGTCTTCCATGTAAAACCTAGTTATATTTAGCTTCAACTCAAATATTGAAGCCCATTAAATATTGTGGTGCTCAACTGGGAGTACAAGTTGAAAGACAGCAAGGTATCTTGGTGACCTTTATGTGTCTCATCAGGCATCCTGTCACCACTGACAGCAATGCTCACAGCATTTAAACTGGAGACTTGTGCACTCGAAGGGCTTAAAGCACAACCACAAAAGGCCAAAGCATCCCCCCAAATTGATCAGTGAGAAAATGCTAGTGTTCAGCTGCTCAGAGATGACCAGGAGTAGACCAGGGCAACTGCCCGTCCAACATTCACCTCCACAGAACCCTAGAAATTTACAGAACAATTCAGCCCATTGTATCCGTACTGGTTCTGTTAAGATGGGTTCTTTCAGTCTCATTTACCTCTCTTTCCCGATCCTGTAGATATTTTAGTGCTCTTTTGAAAGCTAATATGGATTCGGCCTCAACCACCGCTACCTGTGAGGCATTTTGTATCCTATCTACTGTCTATGAAAAAAGTTCTCCTAATCTCACTTTTTGCCCGTTTGCTAACTATCTTAAATTGATAGCCTAATAATACCTGTGGGGAAGGACCTGGATTCTGTTTGACAACTTCTCAAAGCAAACAGAGGTACAGCTTAGTGAATTTAATGTGCACGCAATGATAAGCATAAACTCACATCCCAACAGGCTATACTACCACATTAAATTAAAAAATATACATGGGGTGAGTAGCACAGTACTAGATGAGAAGACAAATGTGGAGGAATACAAAGTGCAATTATATAAATTTGATCATCCATTTTGCCAAGATCCCAACCTTGGCCATGCTGCTCTGGAAAGAAGCCAAGTGCAGGCCACAAATCATTGATGATGCAATAAAAACTAGCGGCTTTCCCACTCAGCCACATGAGATGATTGGATGCTCAGGAACACAAGTAAAAAGGGATTTGCATATTCATCCCCAAATATGTAATAAGGAGCACTGTTAACCAGAGTACTCTTAAAAGTATAATTATTCAGACCAGTTTTACTATAAAAGAAATTCAAATGATGGACTAATGCAGAATCTTGATCATCAGAGAGTTGTTAACAGGAAGGCCAAACGGAACATTAAATCACTTGCAATATTTACAGCCATTTCTGCAATATATTCCAATTTTTATTGGCAATGCGCAAACAATGAATATTTAACCTCCATATTTACTGTACCATGTATTCTTCTCAAATTGCAACAGGTCTGAACACTGTACAGACAATGCCTTTTCAGTCCTGGGTCCAGAACCTATCATTAATTAGTTAAATCCCCAGAGTTTGTGTCCTTACCTCTTGAAAGTTGTGCTGGGTGAACTTGTCAGCAATACGCAGCAGCTCTCTGCAGGAGTGGGTGTCAGCGAAGGCTCTGATACCCAGGCAGTTGGAGGGATCGAGTTGTCTCTTCAGGAACTCGCAGCATGCCTCCTGGATCTCAGCCAGCTGCAAGAGGCAGGCAGCCGGCAGCAGGGTCTGCACGTTTCCCTCCTCCACAGTGATCTGGGAAGTGTACGCAAAGTCAATCAGCAGTTCCATGGCTCTCTCGTCAATGTCTCGAATCACCACTTCAGTCTGCCGGCTCTCTGCCAGCTCACCGGTAAACATCGCTCGAAAGTAAGGGCTGCAGGCCGATAGGATCACCCTATGTGCATAGATCTTTTTTGCGCCTACGACCAGCACCACGTCACAGAGTTCCCTGTGCTTCCTCAAAAGGTTAATCACTTCGAGAGTCTGCCGAGGGTGCTTGTCCGATACGTACGGCATTCTGGCTGGTTGGGGCACTCCCTCGGGCAGTTTATTGGGATCACCCAGTGTACATCGGCTAGTAACATCCATTCCGATCTCTCCTGGTCGAGTACTGTTGCACCTAATATGGGGCAGTAAGGGCGGAAAGGAGAAAGNAAAAAAGTTATTCAAGCTTAAAATTTAACCATACTATCTGCATGTAGATTACAGGTTTCCAATGTAGAATTCTAACCCGCGCAATTCTGCTATCCATTGGGAGGTGTGGCAGGGGGATAAACCCTGTCCCTGCTTTCTATGATTATAGGCGCTCCACTTGCGTGTAAAGGATCTTGTTGCGTTTCTTTACTCGTTTAAAAAATGCCTCAATCAAGGTAGCTAACAAGAGCTGGACTCCAATCAATGTTGTTTGAAGTTCTAGCCCTAAAGGCTAATTGGGCACCAAACACCCATTAATGAATCAGCCGCAATATATAACTGAATAAGTGAGAGAGTTGGACAAAGCAATAGCTTCCTTATCCAAATAAACCATTTGTTGTAAAAACTCTTGTGCACGTTTGTTTTCTGGACTCAACCCGTACCCTCCTATAGGAGGTTAGGCATTTTATAATTGTATACAGTCACAAAAAAGCAAGAGGTTCAGATAAAGGTCCTTTGGTCCAATTCTATGGGTACGCTTTACTGGAAAAGGCACCGGTCTTAAGCTTATATTGCTAAGAAGTGGGGAAAAAAGACAATTGTCTGACTTGGCAAGTCCCAATCTCAACTGGCCAGTTTAGAAGGTTGAGGGGTAATCTAATTGAGGTTTCTAAAATAATAAAGGGATTCAATAGGATAGATGCAGAGAAACGCTTTCCTCTGGTGGGGGAAATCCAGAACAAGGGGGCATAATCTTAAAATTAGAGCTAGGCCATTTAGGAGTGAAATCAGGAGGCAATTTTTCACCTCCTGACTTCAAAGGTTAATGGAAATCTGAGACTCTCTCCCCCAAAGGCTGTGGATGGTGGATCCATTCACATTTTCAAGACTGAGGTGGATAGATATTTGTTTGGCAACATCATCAAGGGATATGGAGCAAGGGTAAGTAATTGGAGTTGAGGTACAAATCAGTCATGATCTTATAGAATGTCAGAACAGACTTGATGGTCTGAATGGCCTACTCCTGATCCCGAGAATTACAATAACGATGGTTTGGAAAGGTCACCTATCAAGATCAGCACCAATTTACTGAGGCTGAACGAACATGGGATTTACTTTATTAATTCAGCGTTTAAGAGCATTCAGAATCTACCAAATTCTTAAATAGTCTTACGTTATAGGTGGTTTATTACATGGTATTTTAAGAGCTAAAGAACAGATTTCAAAGTTAAGGTTCGATTCACCAATTGGCCGAATTCTTGATGCTCTAAAATGCTGCATGAGTAAATCTACACCCAGGTGGAATTTCTCCTAATTAAGGACTTATACAAGAGTTGGTTGATCAAATTGAACTAAAAAAAAATTACTCCCATTTCAGCAGTTGATTTTAACCTCCCTTTCTTAACCAGCTCTGGCTTTCAGAGATCAATGCAACACATGAGCAGCTGTGCACTCAAAATAGCAAGCATCTGAAGAGACATAGTTCCTGAAACTTATTCCAGGTTACATCACAAATAGAAAACTGTATGACTGGCTGTTTTCTATAGGCAACAAAAATTATGTACAAATATATGGTCTGTGTACAAGAGTTTGACATTCTTATTCCAAGTTCTCTGCCCTAGTAACAAAGCACACACAATGTAGACTTCTCTGAACCTGTCCATGTTGGGGCTTAATTCCAAGAATATATTATGCTTATTCCTTTCTTGGTGCCTTTAAACCTGTGATTACCTACCCCCATAAGACAGAGTTTAACCTCTTCACTCCCTTTCTCCCATATTAATAATAAACAACAATACTTGCATTGGTCTTATTTTGCCTTATGTCATCGAGACGTCTCAATGCATCTCAGAGGATTTACTGTAAAGTGGCATGGTTTTGTGCAAGACTAAGCTGGAAAACTGAGGTCCCCTTGCTGTATCTCATTAGTGATAAAAGTCTGCTTCCAATCAAAACCTTTCTTCAAATACAACTTACACTTGTATAGCGCACTCCATGGAGGGTAGCATCTCAGAGCACTGAACAGAGGCGGAGCATGACTCTGAGCTGGGGAGGGGGAGGTGACTGTACACGGTCAAAAAGGAAGGTATTCAGGTAGGACTTGAAAAAGGCTAGGCAGGAGAATGTTCTGAGTTTTGGGGCATGATGGCTGAATGCGCAACCTTCAATGGTGGAGCAGAGGGCGCGCGAGTGCATGCGGCAAGGATACCTGTGGCCACGTTTTGGAGGAGCTGCAGCTTATGAATGGTAGAGCTGAGAAAGCAGATGAGAAGAGCAATGGAGACATTGAGTTTTGAGGTGACAAAGGTAATGAGTGTTTCTCCCACAGTGAGCTGGGAATGGAGGTGAGTAATAATAATAATGCTTGCATTTGATATAGCGCTTTTCACATTTTCTACTCAAAACTTCACAAAATATTCTGTAAAGTGAATTGACTGTATATTTGTGGGCGAAACAGTGGCTTATCACATGATCAAGACATCTCAAAGCATTTCATAAGATTTTTACTGTGTAGTAACTATTTATAGGCAAATGGAGGCAATGCACGTCACAAGACAAGAGGTAAGGAAGGAAAGAAATCCAGAGAAGAAAGCGCTGTACAGCTTCCCTTTACCACCACAACAAGGATTATACAATAAAACTTGCAAAGGTCTTACCTTTATAAACACTATAATCACCTTTCGTAAATGCACCCAAGCCCCATTCAGTTTCCTATCAAAATCACTTAGATTTCTTTGTTGTTGTAATCTTCTAACTTGTAACTCCGTTCCCCTATCTTCCATTACCAGCGCACTCATCAGCTCCATTGAACTGTGGGAAATACAGTTTTGATCCGTCGATGCATACACAACACGATTCCAATACTTGCCGGTAAGTTCACGTGCAGTGACGGGTCAAGGCGCATTGAAACATGGGAAACGTAATCTTGACCAGTCACCGCACGAACACTTACCGGCTGCATTGTATTATGCATGTGCAGTGTAGATTCTTGATTAAATCGGATTTTATACGGCTTGTACAATTTTGCCGGTAACTCGGATTTCGTGCGAGTAATTAAATCATGGAGGCAACTCATACAATTTGTGAGTTTTACTGTACAGCCAAATTATACTAAAATGAAAAGTTTTTAAAACACATTCTGTTGTCTGTGTGTGGGGGGGGGGGGGGGGAGATTCCATTTTTTAAAAAAAATCCAAGAGTACTCATTTAGTTTGACCCAGGCTCCAACACAGCACCAAACATCTATCAACCCCACAACCTCAGCAAGGGTCATACTGTAGGAAGTGCATCTTACCAGCTTCACATAGATTTTTCATATGTAATATAAACAGAATGTCCATCCACTACTGGAAAACACATCACTGACACAGCACAAGCAATGGGAAATGAGACAGCACGAGCACAGAAAAAAAACATAAAACAAGAAAAGGATTGTTTCTATTTTGTGACAAGTACAATTTCAGTTAAATCCAACAGTAACATTTCAATTCATGCGTTACTGTTTCACCGACTTGTGACAATGCAATAAATTTAATTAATTCCTGAAGCAAACATTCAAAGGTAAGATTTTTTTTGGTCAGCCAGATGTCTGACACATGTGAATCACCTTGCTTAAGAGTATCCAAACCAAACAGAGTTCCGTGCATCTCGCCTACATGGAAATTCATATGTATTGAAATGGAAATGCCTCCCGAGAGGGACACACCCTCACAATGTAAAGGCTCACTGCTGAGCAAGGTTTGGTATATTATACATTATATTTCTGATCTTGGCCCTGGTTACTTTGGCAGTCTATTTATCTGTACCACAAATGGATAGCAGATTGCTTTGTTCACCAATGGCCACTTAAGCAGAGGAATGGACAACAACAACTTGCATTTATATAGCACTATCCACCTTCTCAGAGCGCTTAACAGTGGCGGAGCCTGACTCCGAGCCGGGTGAGGTGGCCATAAGCATGGTCGAACAGGAAACTTTTCAGGCGGGACTTGAAAGAGGGGAGGGGGCAAGGTGGAAGGATTGAGGGAGTATTTTCCAGAGTTTTGGTGAGTAATGGAGGTCAATTAGTAATCACATTCCCAGGAGAAGGAGAAAAAGAGGGAGTGAAATACTAGAATTCACAAAACCAAGTTGTATCAATTAATTGCTGCAGCATTAGATGCACTTCAACTCACCTGCGCATCAGCTTCCCTTCCATGCACAGTCAAGAGAATTTCTCAGTCTCGATTTAGCTCCTTTCTAGGATTGAAAGATTAAACAGAGTACAGAATTGTGACCAGGACATTGTTTTACCAATACTTCACTACATTAACACCTTCAATAATCAGATATAAAACCTGGATAACTGGTTATCCACCCAGTATATTTTCCAGTCCCAGCAATTGTACAAGCAACCTCAATACTCGGTTCACTACTCAGTTAAGTTGCTTCTCATCTAAACAGCAAAAGAAAATTCTTAAATCAACATAAATATGTTAAAGTTCAGTAAGACTTCCTGAACTATCTTACTGCATTTTTATAATATATAATTTTAAATAACTGAAATTGTTATCCAATCTCTCCCTAAGATAATCAATAGTGCCATTTTAGAATAAAAATTCTGGGTACCCAGACTTCACATTACATTTATTTTTCAAAAAAACACTAATTTCAGGATTACCCCCTCCTTCAACTACATTTCCAGACCAGATGGAGTTATGGATGGACAGTGAAAAAAAGTGACCAAAAAAAATTTAGTCTAGCTTCAGCAAGGTTAAAACATACCGGTTTTCTCAAAAATCTAACCACATATACAATACAGTGAAAGTGCTGTACTTTTCTGAAAATAACATTGAGCAAAATACTGTAGTTTCCATGATTGGTGAAAGAATTCAGATTATTATGGCTTCTGTGCCAAAGAAATATAAGTAGGAACTCACACCAAGACACCCTAACGTAAGACAAAGACAAGTTCCTGTCTAATTAATTCCTCCATCGTGTTATTTTTATATCCTATAATGCAATTCACACACTAGATGTTAGTGGATAAGAAACCAAACCAATTTAAAGGTTCTCAGTACTGAAGTCATGTTTCAATTATCAACTTCAGGAATGCTGTGGCTCTGACAGGCTTCCAAAATTACTTTAAAACAAACACTGAAGGGGATACATTTATGGATCCTCAACAGCAATTTATTGGAGGTCAGCGAAACAGTCACTACTGCGTGTTCACAGGTTGCCAATCAATCCCCCAGTGCAGGATTGTGAATGAAGTGGAAAGTCATGGATAATGCACCATTCTACAGGAGAACAAGCCAGGAAACTCACAAATATCTGTCCATTCCACTTTACAGAATCCATTCTAAAAGTTCTTCCAAATCAAATGCAAGGTATTTTTGCTCTATCAAATTACCTCCCACCCTCCTGAAGAGGGCTTACCTGCACATCACAACTCCACCTTTCCTCCTTCATCAGAAACATGACACATATCATCACACAAGAAATCACTGGCACAGACTTTAACTACTCTGAGATATAGATGACTTCAGAGCGGCTATACACACTGCAAGGCAGAGATTAACCTTCTGTGATTGGAATGAACTCACTGCACACCATCATCTAGCACCGTGCACATTCAAGACTCATTTCTGTACTTAAACACATTAGAAGCATCACCCACAGCAAAAAGTAATTTTACAAAAAACAAATTATACATTAATTGATTTATCACAGGTTCCACAATACAGAGATATACAATGGCTTTCCACTTTGACATTCTTCACCAGTGTTTCTCAAATACTGCCACTATGGTTGCATGCAATGGTTGCGTGAATCTATATTCACTTGATTTTGTAGTCACCAGCAGCCCCTGGCCCGGAGGAAGGGTGTATGTATGTGTGTAGCCCTTGTAGTTCGAGCACGCACTGGACCCACTGCTGCAGAAGGGGAAGCTGGACTATAGCTCCCAGGGAGCATCGCAAGGGTGCACAGGTAGCCGGTTGAGCATGCCCTCCCTGCGCACCGGCTGGCTCGAGAAGGGAAAGGGAGTTACCCAGATAACGAAAAGTTGCACTGTGGCCACCAGTAAGTGTGGTGGCCACACACCGAGGCCACCACAAAAATTGGTTTGAGAACCAATGCTTGTTAAGAACACAGATTTGGGTTGAGCAGCTGTTCATGGCTAGCCCACTGAATAATTAGCCAAGGGCTATAATAATAATCCTTGTATTTGATATAGCATCTTATCAAGTCATTGAGACATCTCAAAACGCTTCACAGAATACACTATGAAGTGGACTGACTGTATACTTTGTGGGTGAAACACAGCAGCCAATTGCACACAGCAGTGTCCCACAGTCTTGGACCGAGTAACCAAATTATTTTTTTAAACTTTTTTTTGAAGGGATTATTACCCTGGAAAGCAGTCCTTCAATCGACTAACAACCGAGGTCCTCCTTACTGCTGGGTAAACAGAGGCACGTGGAATAAGGAAGCTCGCCTAAGGTTTCACCCAAACCGGGAATCAAACCTGAGTCCTTTCGCTTGCGAGACGAGAGCGCCAACCACTACAGTACCGGCCTGGCACTGATCAGTCAATACAAATTAGGTTCAGAAGTGATTTCCTTCAAGTAAAAAAAGCTCAGTTTGCAGGTGATTCAACATGGTTCCCATTAACACACCTACATAGGTACAGTCTGTTCCCCCATTCAATTAGATCATGGCTGATCTCTGTACCTCAACTAATCCTGTCAATTCCAATTTCCCGCTTTTTCCCCATATCCCTTAATACCCTGACCTACAAAAATACATCTATCAACCTCAATTTGAAGGTGTGGTTAGATCCAGCATCCACAGCTTTTCGGGAGGAGAGAATTCCAGATTTCTACCACCCTTTGAGTAAAAAAAATGCTTCCTGATTTCACTCTTAAATGGCCTGGTTCTGATTTTAAGGCTACACCCCCCCCCCCCCCCAGTTTTGGATTCCCCCACCAGAGGAAATAGCTTCTCTGTATCGAATCCCTTTATCATCTTAAGCACCTCAATCAAATCACCGCTCAACCGTCTAAACTCCAGGGAATACAACCCAAGTTCATCCGGTCTGTCCTCGTAACTTAACCCTTCAAGGCCCGGCAACATTCCAGTGAACCTGCGCTGCTGTGGAGTCCTGTAGCTCAGTGGTTAGAGCACTCTCTTTGCAAGCGCGAGACCTGAGTTCAATTCCAGACAGGGCGAAACCTTGGGCAAGTTTTCTTACTCCATACGCCTAATAATCATCCCTCCGAAACCAAAAACCATAATAAATTGGCATTTTCAATCTACGACTGTTTGTGGGACATTGCTGTGCGCAATTGGCTGCCGCGTTCGCCCACAAATATACAGTCAATTCACTTTACAGTGTGTCCTGTGAAGCGCTTTGGGACGTCCTCCCGACGTGAAAAGCGCTCTGTCAAATGCAAGGATTATTATTATTATTAAACGCTGCTGCTGCTCCCCCTCCAGGGCCGTGGAGATGTGCGGCAGCCGCACCGGGTGTCCGGCACTGGGGCAGCCAGGATCGCGGTAATGCGCACACATACAGTGCCGGTCTCCTTAAGAGCCTATTATTTATTGCTGGTGGTGGTGGGGGGGGGGGAAAAGGCTGTTAAGTACCTGCGACCATTACAATGCACAACACACAGCAGTGAGTAAGGAGCCCAGAGGCCGGCCCTGTGGGGGGAACTGGTAAACATGTCCGCAAGGCAAGAGTCGCTGAAGAGGTGCGAGACTCAGGCCTGTACCCCCCCTCCCTCTCCCCCCTCTCTCTCTCTCTCTCTCCCCCTCTCCTCTCTCTCTCTCTCTCCCCCTCTCTCCCCCTCTCTCTCTCCCCCCCTCTCTCTCCCCCCCCCTCTCTCCTCCCCCCCCCTCTCTCCTCCTCCCTCTCTCTCTCCCCCCCCCTCTCTCTCCCCCTCCCTCTCTCTCCCCCCCGATGCCTTCAATCCGCTCCCTTCTCGATGATTCTAAGCCACTTTGCCCGCCTCGCTTCAGACACTGCGCACCTCCGAGAGAGAGAGAGAGAGAGAGAGAGGGGGGGGTGGGGGCGCGCGCCTCGCACAACACCATCCCCCCCCCCCTCCCGAACCCGCACCGCACGGCGGGGAGGACGGCCCGAGGTCTGGGCGAGAGACCGCTGGGAAAGTCCGCCGGCTGGTCGGCTTAGTTACGGGCCTACCTACCTACCGGGCGGGCGGAACCGGTTGCAACTGCCCCGCGAGGGGCGGTGATAGTTGAGGAGAAGTGGCCGCGATGGAGAGAGAGAGAGAGGGAGAAGGAGAAGGAGAGAGAGAGAGGGGATGTGGATCGCGCGCGCGTCACTCACTCACTCACTCACCCGTTCTCCCTCCGTGGCCGCCACGCCCCCCCACTGCGCTTGCGCGGCAACCGCAAGGCCGGGAACGGAGGGGGTGGGGCCGAAAAAAAAGGCCTTCCCCGCGCAGGCGCACTGCTCGCCGCGCAGTCCTGCGCTCACCAGACAGAGCAAATCACAACAACAACAACAACACGATTGCATTTGCAGAGCGCCTTTCGCGTCGGGAGGACGTCCCAAGGCGCTGGACAGTTGGGTCAGGACCCGAGCATTGGGGGGGAAATGGTCAGGGTGAGGGGAGGGAAGGAGCGAGGAGGGGGTAGAGAGTCGAGAGGGGAGCTGAAGGCTGAAGGTCAAAGAGAAGGGTCTTGAGACCGGCCTTGAAGGAGGAAAGGGAGGAGGCGGCGAAGGCACTGGGGGATAGAGTTCCAGAGCCTCGGGGCTGAGAGGCTGAAGGCTCGGCCACCGATGGTAGGGCGGTTGGGGCGGGGGATGTGGAGCAGACCGGAGCCAGAGGAACGGAGGGTACGGGCAGGTAGGTAGGGGGATAGTAGGTCTGTTCTCTTCCACCTCTGAATCAGTTTAAAATAATAGTAATAATTTGGTAACTCAATCCACTGGCTGTTCGTGGGACACTTGTTTGTGCTGTGCACAATTGGCTGCTGCGTTCCACCCACCCACCCACCCACACAAAACATATACAATTACAGGATATTCCGTGAAGCGCTTTATAATAATATAATAATCCTTGTATTTGAATATAGTGCCTTATCACGTCTTCGAGACGCCTCAAAGCGCTTCTCAGAATGTGCTGCTATATTCTACATACAATAAAGTGAATTGACTGTATATTTTGTGGGCTAAAGCAGCCAAAACGTACAGCAGACGTCTCTAAAAACTTGATAAGGCACTATATTAAATGCAATTATTATTATTATCATACGATGGCTGTATTTTGTAAACCAGAGGGTGAGGGCAGAATAGCTGAAGGCCCAACTGCCAACGGTGGGGCGGGCAGGATTGGGAACATGGAGCAGGCCAGAGGTCATCGCTCTTTTCCATTCCTCCCAGACAAACAATGCCAACCACAAGGTGTCCAGAAATTAAAATACCTTTGCGTGGCCCAAAGTCAACCAAATACCGTGGGAGCCCAAAAGTAGTCCATTGTTATGCGGTGCCTGCTATGGGTTGCGGAGTGGCTGATTTAGCTTAGGAGCGCTTTTGAAACTGTAAGAAAAGGTCTTCCTTCAAAGAGGGGGAGGGACGTTCCACATGATTACATTTTTTTTTAAAAATTGTAAAATTAAGGCTACCTGGACAAAGCCGGTTTTAGGTACAGCAACAAAAACCCGCCCAATCTGGGAACATTTCTGTCAAATCAACCAACCAACCTCCCTCCCTCCCTGGAGCCGGACCCCAATCGCTGCTGCACCACTTCCGGCGGCCGGGGACGCTTTTAGGCGTTGCACAGCGGCGGCGTTGCCATGGTGAGAGCCGGGAGCCCTGAGGCGGGGATTCAGAGGCGAAGTGAGTCTCAGGTCAGACCGGGAGTCACACGGTGCAACGGGGGCTGAGGAGGGAGGGAGGGAGGGAGGGTACAGGAGGAGGAGGCGGCGGCGGCAGGTCAGGTTAACAGGTGGTGAAGAGCGGGAGGGACGAGGCCGCCCAGGGATTCACTGTCCACCCACCAGGCCCTGCCCTGTCTGCCCTCTCTGCTCTGCCCCGGACACCGCCTCAGTCAGTCCCGGTTATGTTTATTACGAAGCAGAAATCCGCTCGTCTCTGAGCTGCCCAGGCCATCGTTTCACAGAGTCCTGCTGTTCCCCTAACATGTTTTTTTTTCTTTCTCTCTCTCTCTCTCTCTGCAGTGCAGTGCATCGAGGCAGCAACTCAAACGTGTGGCAGAATTAGGATAATTGCACTGAGAAAAGAACCTTAATTGTATTTGTGTTTAGACGTCCAAAGGATCGGTGTGTGTGTGTGTGCGTGTGAGCGCGCGTGTGCGTGAGCGCCATCGTTTTCATGGCAGATCATGATCCGCCGCCACGTTCGGTGCCACGTCTTCGGTGACATGGATGGAGAGCGAGGAGACGAAATGCGCCTCTGACAGCTTATTTCAGCTCCTCCGCTGTCTTGTAAAGCTGTTTTGTAAAAGGTGTAAGAGGATCCGAGACCGCCCCCCCCCCCCCCACCCCGCTTTCAGAAACAAGCCTTTTCAGATCAAATTTTCTCTCCAGAATACCCAACTACCCTTCCCCACCCACCACCCACACACACACACCCATCAGAGCATCACTTTTTTATGTTTACATGTGTTCTACAAATAAACACACAGTTTAGGCCAGTGGTCGACAATCTTTATGGACAGCCAACCAAATAACATCTATGCCCGCGGCTCCATAGCTACCAGAAACAAAGTACTGACTTGCAGGTGTTCGGCTGGCCATTTCTTGACGACCCCTCTGCAACCAAAATTGTCCCACAGGCCACGGGTTGGCGACACTAGTTTAAGCGGACACCAATGCAATGCGTGTGGGAGCACTACATTTGCCTGAGGTGCCAATCTTCAGATGATGTATTAAACCGAGGTCCCGTCTGCCTGTTCAGGTGGATGTTAAAAATCGCATGGCGTTATTTGTAAAGAGAAGGGAGTTTCTCCCAGTGCTCTGACCATCCAAAATTGATCATTCACTTCATGGCTGTTTATTGGACATTACTGTGCGCAAATGGCCCACTGCATTCACCTATAAATAGTAAATCCTGTGAAACCCTGAGATGTTTTGATGACGTGAAAAAATACCTGCATATCAAATAAATGGTTATTTTGTTACTATCCTTGTTTTGTTAGATAAACATTTTAATTATGGAACAAACGGATGATTATGTTGAAGTTACGTCTGAAAAGCTACACTCAGAGAATCAGAGCTTGTTGGATGAAGAAGATCCCCAGGCTGAGAACATAAACAACTTTTTGACTGCAGTAATGATGGGAAACAGCGAGGAACTCCAGAAGTTCTTTGTTGACACAGATGATCATAATAATGAGAAAACAACCAGATTACTAAATACACAAGATAATCTTGGCAAAACTGCCCTGCACTTAGCCTCCCAGCTGGGCCACTGTGAAATTATCACCATGTTGGTGAAACTAGGAGCTAATGTGAATATGAAAACTGTCAGAGGTAATGTGAGCATTATTCATTTGTCTCTTCATTCCTTTGCTTGTGTGAATATTTCTAGTTCCTCATTTGATGTGCTCTGTGCATCCTAATTAGGCCAACTCCAATGCCACAGTGTCACACACATCTTTTCCAGATATGGATTGTGAAACAATAATGCATCTACACACAAGAATGGAGAATGTGTAGTTATATCTCCCTTTTAAATACCATAATTGACTATGAATGTATTGCCTTTTTTGGACAGTGTTTTACACATTTTGTGTGAAGAAAATATCATAAATTTAGGTGCTTCACTTCTGGTCAGAAAATTGTGGGTTCAAGCCGCATGTGTGGGCTTCAACTCATAGTGTAAGCCAGGGATGGTGAACATGCGACTATTTCATCCATGAGTAATGTTGGCCATCCCTGGTCCAGGCTGACACTACAATGCAGTACTGGGGTTGTGTTTCATTTTTGGATGTGTCATCCTTCAGATGCGACATTAAACAAGGGCTTTTGCTTATTCAGATGGACATTAAAGATCCTGTTGGTCTATTTGAAATACAGAAGGGAGTTTATCCAGATGTCCTGGTCAACAATCTCCCAAATAAAATTGGTTCACTTCATGACTACATATGCAAATTAGCAGTCACATTTTCTGTAAAATACAATCACTACCTACAATACAGCAATCATTTGTAAAGTGCTTTGAGACATCAGCATTATCAAATGCGAGGCTTATTATCATAAACATGTCAGTCAATTTACCCCTTAACAACTCCCCTTCCCCCCCTCTCCCCCCCCGCTGCTCAAGGAAATGCAACCCCCCAAAATTTCAGTTTTCATCAGTTAATTCCTTCGACCCAGGTATGATCCAGTTGAAGATGGATTCAGGACTAGTATATCCTTCCTAACATGGGGTATCTAAAACTGAACACAGGGCTCCAAAGCCTGACCACAATTGTAGTACTATAGTATTGTCTTATATTAAGATCCGCTTGTGATGAAGCACAGAATCCAACAAACCATTTTTATTGCTTTCTCTACTCCCAAACTCACTTTAATCACTGTCAACCTTAACTGTTTGACAGTTATTACTTCAAAGCACTTGTGATGTTTCAACATGATAACTTGCTATAAAAATGCAGTTAATTTTCTTATACATCCTATTCTTTCTGATACTTCTGCAGTTTTGTTAGGTTAGTCAGACATGACCTACTTTTCACAAAGACATTGCTTACCTCCCTCCTCCTGATTAGCTCATACTTATCCCAGTGCTTCAGTTGCTCTGATGATAGTAAACTCACTGGTCTACAGTGCTTTTGTTCAGCCCTTCCTCTTTCCAAAACAACATATACAATGAATCCACTTTACAATATATTCTGTGAAGCGCTTTGAGATATCTCAATGATGTGATAGCAAATGCAAGGGTTTTTTAGTATTATAATGGTGTTATTAATTTTAACTTTTATAAGGATACAAACACCTTGTATCCTTTTAAAAATAAATAAAACTGGAATTAATGGATTATATGCCATGAATATTTGATGCAAGTTGTTTTTCAGGATCATATTGTCTCTGCACAATAAGTCTGACAGTATTTTGTTTCTGCTTAACAGGATACACTCCTTTGCACTGTGCCGCAGCCTGGGGAAAACTGGAGAGCATAAAAACTTTGGTGGAACTTGGAGCTGACATCCAGGAAAAAACCTTCAGAGGTGAAAAAGCTCAAGATATCGCTCACCGCTATTCAAAGACTGATTGTGCGGAATATCTAGATTGGGCAGGTGAGAAATGGCCTGCAGGAGAGTGAGACTGCACTACAGCCAATAGTAGCTAGAATACATATTCTGCTTCCCACAATTTATTAGACTTAGAATGTCACTTGTCTAACACTACTGGTAAGTAATGTAAAAAAAATACATCATTGCAAAAGAAAGTTTTAGTTTCTAGTTAGCAAGTTAGCTTGTGGGCAGTCCCAATAGTGTCATGTATAGGGCTGCAACTTATGGACGAAAAGTTGTTTGAATCCCAGACAGGGCTGAGAGGGTATGATTCCTGCTTCTTGCTCTTCTTCAACACCCTCTACTGGCATTGTGCTTATATTTATACAGAGGCCAAACTGATGTTGGAGTTGTATATTTCCAATATCCAAGAAACGGTGGCAGATCCTACTAGGCTGCAGGCCAAGCTGACCAAGCAAGAGAAGGTAAGCTTTTAGCTAGAAACTATACTGTACATTTACTTGTACATTAGATCATCAGTTACTGCAGGGCGGTACAAATAAGAAGGAATGAGTGAAACCCACAGGCCCCCTCAGCCTGCAACACACAACCAATCACTGAGCACAGTCAACAGTAAGTGCGGCTCTCCTGAGACTGGTTTCACTTCTAACACTCAAATAAAGGAAAGTTTTTTAATAATAATCATTGCATTTAGTACAGTGCCTCATCATGTCGGAAGGACATCTCAAAATGCTTCACAGGATTTACTGTGAAATGGAGTGACTATATTTGTGGACAAACGCGGCAGCACAATTACGCACCCGAGTGTCCCACAAACAGCCGTGAAAGTTTTCAATTTTTATTTGGGGTATTGTTGGCCAGGATTGTTGAAACTCCCTTCTTTTTTTGAATAGTGCCATGTGATCTTTAATGTCCACCTGAAAAGGCAGCCAGGACCTTGGTTTAACATCTCGAGAAGATTTACATTAAATTTTATGGGTTCAGAGACTTTTCGCTCTCTCTCACAGACTGCCTGCTTGAATGCCTGTCGTGTAAAATCTGATTGGTTGCAATCGTCCCAAAATGTACCAGCGCAGGAATTCATGCAACAAAAGGAACAGCTGGAGATGACCCTGGAATCTATCTTTTCCAAAATATTAACTGCTTGTAAGTACAAAACCAAAGCGGTTGTGAAGGCCTGAGATTCTTTAGGACAGTTTTCTAATTAGTTTTATTCTGCTTGGCTGGTTCTCTATCCTTACTCAAGACAATATAAAAAATAAAGGACGAAATAGCAGTACTTTTTTTCCCAATAGGCTATGTGGATGCTTTTTGAGAAGGGTAGTAGGGGCTCCTTTTTAGTTTAACTTCAACAGTGGTACACCAGCAGTAGATTAGTAAGCAATGTAAAGCCAGTGAACCAGAGTCAAACACAATGAACATGGAACACATTGCACCTTGGAAATGGGGTTGGGGTGTGCAAGTTTATTATTTTTAATCTTATTTTTTGGTCAGTTGCATGTGACACAGGAGGAAATCCATCTCCATACTTAAGAGTATGCAAACTAGTTTGAAGTGCATGGCACTTACACATGGAAATTCCTGTGTTTAGAATGGAATGTCCCTTGAGAGTCACACCCTGCTAAACTGATTTGGAAGAGTATCACAGGCAGGTTGGCTGGAGCCAACGTGTGACATGAGGATTATTACAATTAATTCATTGGTAAGAGAGCATGATAAATATTGAGTTAATGGTATGAAAGATTGTAGGGATAAGTAAGTAAACAGATGATTTAATATTCTATTGATAACCTAATGTTTCCTGGGAAGAGAGTGAATCTTGTGCAAAACTGCACAAAGGTGATATCATCCGTAGAAAATAATAGATTCGGTTGAATAGTGGGAGTGAATTCATATTCACTTTGGGTGAAGAGTTGAGAGATTTTTTATTTCCCTCATGTGTAGTCTCCTTGCCCTGAATGTTAATCTTCCTATGAAAGTGTTTTTTGAGGGTTCATTCAATCACAGTCAAGGCTTTCTTTTTCCAGATCAGTTACTTTGTAAAATCACTTCTTCAGTTCATGGCTATAAACCACTAAATGTTACATTTATAGTACGAGCTCTGCCTTGGTTTACCTTAGCATGATCATAAGGTGTTGAAAACTTTTTAGTACTTAATAATAATACTTGCATTTGATATAGCCTTATCACATCGTTGAGACATCTCAAAGCACTTCACAGAATATACTGTGAAGTGCTGTGACTGAGTATTTTGTGGGTGAAATGTGGCAGCCAATTGCGCACAGCTGTGTCCCACAAACAGTTGTGGATTGAGTGACCAAATTATTGCTACTATTTTTGGAAAAGATTATTATCCCCGGAAATTGAATAACAACTGGGTTCCTACTTACTGCTAAGTTAACAGATGGGCGTGGAATAAAGAAACTTGCCTAAGGTTTTGCCTTTATATACTTCTGTAATGTTATATATATATATTTAAAAAATATATACTTCTACAATATTCTATCGCAACATTCATTCATGTTACTCAGCACATAATATTTCCCACACGAGACTCTGTAAGCCCATCACCTCCATCCTTGTTAGGTTCCACTAGCTCTCAATTCTTCAGCAAATCGTCTTCAGGTTATTGGTTCCGTTTTTCGAATGTCTCCATGCCCTTGCGTCACCCAACTTTTGTGGTCTCCAACAGTCACACTTCTGTCTCTTCTGCCTCTTCTTTGCAGGTGTTTTTTCTGGGACTTTGCAGGCTCACTTTGAAACCCTCCCCAAATCTCTGTTTCAACCCCCTACTTCTTTCAGAATCCTTCTAAAAACCTTTGCTTATGCCTTTGGTCGCTTCTTCACAAAGTTGAACAAAACAATTAGTTGCTGGGCAAACTGAGTCAGATATGAACTGATATTCATGGAGTTCTGTAACTCAGTGATTAGAGCAGTCGCCTCGCAAGAGAGTGTCCTGGGTTTGATTTCCAGCAGCGTGAAACATTGGGCCAGTTTCCTCACTCCACATGCCTCTATTTACCCAGCAGTAAGTAGGAACCCGGTTATTAGTCAATTGGTGGTTCACTTTTCTGGGAGTAATAATTCCTAAAAAAAATAATTTGGTCACTCAATCCACGACTGTTTGTGCGCAATTGACTGCCGTGTTTCGCCCACAAATACAGTCAATTCACGTTACAGGATATTATTTTGTCTACAATAATAGTCAATTCATTTTACAGTATATTCTGCGAAGCGCTTTGAGATGTTTCGAAGATGTGATAAGCGCTATATCAAATGCAAGGATTATTACTATTATATTTGTTTCTTTCTGTACAGCTCCAGAGATCTTTAAAATGCCTTTTAAGTCATGACAGTTTGTACAAATGGCTTAATACTGCAATCAAAATGGAAAAAATCAGACCCATCATTTTCCGGACAACTATTTTCATCTACTTTTCAGCCTGTTTTATTATCTATAATTGGTTTATTTGAATGTTCCATTTGCCTTCTCTGAATTTATTTTTCTTGCAGTGGGAAATTATACGAATATGAATTAATTAAGAGTTGAAGGGGGATATTAAGAATCCACATAATTGTCTCAGTTAGAAAGGGAAATATGTGTAGCCTTATACTTTATACCAGGGTGGTCCAACCTTCTAGTGTGATATTTAAAGTGACAAAATGACATAAAGCAGCTTCCAGCAAAATATTTAGTGGTCTAAAACAGCAACAATTTTTTTTCTCTGATACACACCTACTACAAGTGTTCGTGAGGAAACAATGTCACAGCTAGGCCAATAAAAATATCACTCAAAACTGCTTTGTCATGTTATTTGTCACATTAATATTTCTAATAGGAATCTTAAAATGCTTAAAACATCTTGTCTCACCTTTGCTGTTTCTTCCTGAGCCATGCCAGTTAGAAACCAATTTGTGCATTCATTGGGTGAATAATGAATATCTCCTTCTGTAAATCAACTACAGCTCAGCTTTGACAATGTTTCCTTACTTGACTTAATGGCCACATTTATGTAGATATTTATTAGGTTGCGTGCACTTGTATCCCTCGTCCTCTATTAAATGATTCCAAATTTAATAAAGAAAACATTTCAATAAACGATTCTGTTTATATAGTATTTTAATATTTAAAGTTTAATCCAAAAATCAAAACTATACGCATTGGTGTGCAGGTGCCAAATATAGAAATTATATCATGACAAAATTACGAGATTGGAAGAGGAAAGTGCAGGAATGTGCTTTTAGTAATGTGAGAGAACTCCCAAAACAATATACAGTTTGTACAACAATCATCACTGAAGGATTCTGTACTAATAAGAATTTAATTCCCTCACACGGTCGAGCAAATGAACCTTTGTTTAACTGTCAGCAATAACCTCTCCCTAACTGAAGTTATGAATAAACAAAAATGATATCAATGCAGATTTAAAGTGGTCTAATGGGACAATTTCTCTCTTTAATAATAGCTTTGTTTGGATTATTGCATCCTCTAGCATCACAGAACATTGTCATTATTGGTTGAATATCACATATATGCAGTAATTTAGCATGTCAATTAGTTACATCTGTATTGTACTCTTAATTTCCAAATAGATTAAATCCTTAAGACTGGTGTTTGCGCAAATTCCTGTCTCCCAGGAACGTGGAATAATGAGGAACTCAGCAGTGTTGTGTGAATGAATTTGAACTCCACATCATCTTCGCACATTATAATTTTGTGTTGTTTTAACATTTTGTGTTCCATCCCAGCACTTCCAAACTGAGAAGTCAGCAGGTTAACCATACCAAGGCTTCTCAGGATGCTTCCAACAACAAGGTAGCGAAAATTTTAAATTTGGACTGAGGGCGAAATCGGTCAATTCTCCCTCCCATTGGATAAGAACTATTCTAACGATAAAGGCTATGGAGAAAGAGTGGGGTAGTGATACTGATTGAATAGCTCTTTCAAAGAGGCGGCAAGGCATGAGAAGCCGAATGTCCTCCTCCTGTGCTGTAGGATTTTAAGAATTAAATCTCCACTTCTCCAAAGCCTCAGCTCAGAAGTTTAATATTGGAAATTGGGAGTCTCAAACCTGTTCCATTCCTTTCCAACGGATTTTTGCACTGAAGCACAAACACAAAACATTATTGGTAAAATCATCTATTGATTGTGTTTGCAGAATATTACCACCAACATTAAATTATTTTATTAATGTTTTTCTAAGATAATACAAATTTAAATTTATGTTTGCAAGCCAAAGGCTAACCCTGCAGGCTTGTTGTCTTGAAAGACAGTTTTAATTCAGATAGCAGAATAAGGTCTTTCCTAATTCAACTTGCCTGCAGTCACCCTCCAGTTTAGCCACACTGACATTCATTTCATGGCAATGATGACCTTCCCAGTGGATTTACGCTGTAGCACATGTTCAAAGGCTTCATTCACCTAGAAAATTACAAATTCAGTAAACTTACCGCTAACTCAACCAATCGCATTACTCAACAAAGTATTTGCTTAATTTTAAGTACAATCTTTTTAACAATTGCAAAGGGTATGGTTCCGAATTCATCATCCTGTTCCATGGCAAGGTACTTCCCTGACAAATTGACGATCTCCACAACTGTATTCTACGTTTATTCTTGATCTTGTGAATTGACAGCATATTTTGTGGGTAAAACCAATGTCTCACAAACAGTCACGGATCAAGTGACCAAATTATTATTTTTTTTGGAAGGGATTATTATCCCCAGAAAAGCAATCTGCCAATTGATTAACAACCTACTTACTGCTTGGAAAACAGAGACGTGTGGAGGAAGGAAACTTGCCTAAGGTTTCGCCTCTAACTAATACATTACAGGACTCCACAATGCATTAGAATTACTCGTTATATTAGAAACATTCGTTATCAAGCGTGTTGGCTTAGAACCTTGACCCAACCATGTAAGAAAGTAGAATGCATGCACAGTTCAGACGATGGAATACATTATATGAATTTGGCTTTTCTAATGTTGATTTAGCTCCTGGACCGTAATTACTTCAAGACAGATTAAGTAAGGTGTGATCACATACTACATTATCAGAGCTCATTAGATTTTTAAAACACTGGCACAAATGAACAGGAGGTGAAGGATACTGATATTTCCTTGTAGCAAATTGATTTTAAAAAGGTTTCTGATGGCAAGACTTCCTCATTAAACTCATTTATTTCCAGATTAGTACTGTTGGATTTCGACATAAGAATCAGTAGTACACTACTGTACTGTAGTTGGACTTAACTACAGTACGGTAGTGTACACCTGATAATAATCCCTCAACAAAAAAATAATTTGGTCACTTCAATCCATGACTGTTTGTGGGACATTGCTGTGCGCAATTGGCTGCTGCGTTTCACCCACAAAATATCCAGTTAATTCACTTTACAGTATCTTCTGTGAAAAGTTTGAGACGTCTAGAAGATGTGAAAAGCACTATATTAAAATGCAAAGATAATTATTATTAATTCATCTGGTGCTGGATTTAATTTAATATTGTTAAATCATTCTGGCTTTGTCCGACATTGCAAATTGGCTGCTACATTTGCCTACAAAATACAGCCACTACAATTTATAGTGAATCCAGTGAAGTGTTTTGAGGTGTCCTTCTGGAGTGCCTTGGGACGTCCTCCTGATGTGAGATGCGCTATACAAATGTAATCTTGTTGTTGTTGAAAGGCAAATACAAGGATCAAATACAAGGATTATTATGTCAGAACTGAAGAAGTCCTGTACATCTGCTGAATAAACATCTGTCTGAAAGCTAATGATCCTTTAAACACATCACTAGCATTAATCTAAATCCAGATCAGTGCATTCTATGGTTACTGAAAGATTCCTCCAACACACCATTGCATGTCTTTTCAAATTTGATATTAATACTTGTATTTGGTACAGCACCTTATCGTGCTGAAATAGCCCAAAGCTCTTAAAAGTTTGGCTGTAACGTGGAGTGACTGTATTTATAAGAGAATGAAGCAGCCATTTTTTGGACAGCAATGTCCTCAAACAGCCATGAAATGAAAGAACAATATTTTAATCTCAGGAATTGTTGACCAAGACACTTTAAAAAAAAACTCCTTTCACGTTTTAAATTGCAATAGCAATTACATTCATATTTTGCTTTTCACATCAGGAGGAAGTCACAAAGCGCTTCACAGGTGTCTGAGCTTAGGTTGGAGAAGTGACCAAAAGATAGTTTTAAAGAAAGGTCTTAGAAATTTATTAAACAGTGCACTCTTATTTATGAAAAAACTCTAGCATTCAGAATTGGTATATGCTGACCAGACATCACAAGATTCTAAGAAACTTACCATAAACATTTAATCAATAATTTAAATTAATAAGTAGCTTGAAACAGTAGCTCTTTCTAATGACGATGTCTCAAGGTTTCCCAACTTTGTGAGTAACAGCTCACTGGAAAGTTTACAAATGTTTACTTCCCAACACAGAAGTCCCTGAATATGACGTCAAGGATTTCTTCTGCTCCGATCTTCCCGGTGATTTTTCCCAGTTGTCTCAATGCCATCCTCAGCTGCTCAGCCGCCAGGACAACATCCAGCTCCCGGTATCCATGATACTGTGCTAAGTCCTCAGAACATTTCCGGAGATGAAGCCTGTGACGGGTTTGGGTTAGGCTTGGATTACCGACCAACGGATTTCCACACATTTTTTCAACTTTTTCGCTGAGGACACACAGAAAATGTTCAAAACCATTCCCAGTTTTGCACGAGAGTGGGCACAACTGAGGCAGGCCATGCTCTGTGAGAGCCGCCTGCAACCGGTTCAAGTCTGGGGCCTGTGTGAGATCACTCTTGTTACAAACCAGGATCCAGCCCCTCTCTCTCAGATTGGATTCCACCTGTTGTACATCGGATCCCTCCAGGATCATTTCATTCAGATAGTCTTGGAGAAAGTGGGTTGCATCAGTCTGGTCTGATGGGAGCGTCGTGGCATCAACCACCGCCACAACTATATCTGCCTGCCGAAGCCTTTCCCGTGCCCGCCTCATGCCCTCTTGTTCAATGATATCAGTACTCTCTCGGAGCCCCGCTGTATCGCTCAAAAGAATAGGATATCCTCCAATGTTCAGAGCTGTTTCCACAATATCCCGTGTGGTCCCTGCTATGGGCGACACTATAGCAGCGGGTTTCTGACAGATTATATTTAAAAGACTGCTCTTCCCAGCATTAGTGGCCCCAGCAATCACAACGTGGACCCCATTCCGGAGCCTTTCACCTTGACGGCTGTCACGTAAGTGGCCATCAATTTCTGTCTGCAATAAGTTCACATCATTGTCAACTACGGTAAGGATTCCCTCTTCGATGTTATCATCTTCACTGAAATCAATATAAGCTTCCACATGAGCCAGGCATCGAATTAGTCTCTGACTCCAGCGACCATAGAGTTGACCCAGATCTCCAGCCATCTGTCTCAAGGCTTGTCTCCTCTGGGCTTCGGTCTCAGCTTGTATGAGGTCCCCCAAGCCCTCCACCTCGGTCAGGTCCAACTTCCCGTTCAGGAAAGCACGCTTTGTGAATTCACCTGCTTCAGCTGGATGCAGACAGGGTAACTGTCCCAGAGCATTCAGAACTCCACTGATCACAGCTGATCCGCCATGAATATGAAACTCACAGCAATCCTCTCCGGTGAAACTGTGTGGACCTGGGAACCAGAGAACCAGCCCCGTGTCCAAGCGCTCCCCAGAGACGGGGTCCACAATTGGCCGGAGCACAGCAGCTCTGGCTGGGGGCAGTAGCCTCTGGCCAGTCAGGCGGCTCAGTGCAGTAGCACTGGCAGGGCCACTAACTCGGATCACAGCGACCCCACACCGGCCATGACCTGAGCTCAGGGCAAAAATCGTGTGGGTCTCTTGGGCGCCTGAACACCATGTCCTCATGCAGCGGACCTGAAAACAAGGCTGTTAGAAGAAATTGAAGACTGGTTTACTAAATCACTGAATAAAATGGATACCTTGTGTGTAGCAGGAGAAATAAAATAGGCAAATGAACATGCTGGACGCTTACAGACTCAATACCAACCATATCAGTGTTAAAATACACAAGTCAATTCACGTTACAGTATATTCTGTGAAAATTCTCAACAACAAGGCAAGGTGTTATATCAAAGGCAAGCATTTTTATTAGTATATTCAACACAGAACAACAGATTTACATTGAAATAGCACTTTCATATCAGGCGGACATCCCAACGAGCTGATAATTTTAAGTCTCATATCTCACTTGCCCATATCATATATAAATTCCTTACAGATCATCCATCAATTCTTCACTCACTCCCCCTATCTCAGCTCCTTACATCGAATTGGCACTTCCCCAGGATTTACAGAATCCATGGCCCCAACCATTCCACTTTCCATAGGAAAAAGCCCATTACACTTACTCCGCCATTTTATTATTTTGAGTCAGGAATAGTTTTTAAATCCCATTTCCCGCCTTTTCTCCCTTTCATTGAATCCTTAAAACAATCCCAATCTTGGATTTGTCCAATTAATCTGCTTGCAGAAGCTTCCCGCGCTCACCTAATGCCCTCTTGCTCCATGATATCAGCACTCTGAGTCCTCACACAGTGGAAACCATGCAATAATACGAGCATGATCGGATTCTAAGCACACTGTTCTGGTGGATGTATCCAAAAGCACAGAGCAACAATTGAATGCAGTGTTTTCCCAGGATGGGCTGCTTAGTGCCATCTGCTGTAGTTAAGATGGACTTCTGAGCTTTCATTTCATAGCACCGTATCTCATTAAATAGTCTCAACGCACTTGCTGTCATGTGTTGTGGTTATTTAATTGGGAAAATTGTTTACCAGGACACTAGGAGAAATGCCCTTATATTTTTGAAAACTATTAAGGGATTTGACTGACTTGGTTTAATGTCTCATCTGAAAGATAGCACCTCTGACAATACAGTGCTCCCCCAGCATTGCACTGGAATGTAACACTAAAAACTAAGCTCAAGTCACAAGGCTTGGACCCACAACATTCTGACCTAGAAGCAATAATACTACCCAATGCGGCAAACTAACCGTTTATGCCCTCAACTCATTTTAGTATATAAACATTTTATTGAAAGAGAACTATGAAGTAATGGGAGAGATTTACCTGTTGCATCTTATAGATGGCTCCAATCAAAGGCTTGGTTCTCCCTTCCTGAGCATATTGGATCGCTGACCCGATGGACCTGGAGAAGACCGGGAAACATCGCTGGCCGTACTTGCCCCAGTAGACGCCCTTAACTGCAATATTCTTCAGAAGCAGTAGGTTGGCAGGCACAGAGGGTATTTTACCACCAGCAAACCCAACCACGAGAATTCTGCCTTCCCAAGATAGGCTGAGACAATGAAACACAATCCACAGGTGAAGTCAAACAAATCGAGGAGATTTACTCATTAACAGCAATCTCCTGTATTTAATGCATTAGGATTAATCCAACTCCCAAATTGGAGTAATTTCTTTTTGGCCAGCTGGGTGTCTGACATATGTGGAATCCCATCATCCCATCACCATGCTTAAGAGTATCCAAAACAAACTGAGAATCCCATGCTTCCCGCCTACATATAGAAATCCCAGAGATAAGATTGTTGGAATGGAATGGCACACTCTGCCTGGAGGGATGAATCCTGCTTACCTAATTTTAGAAAGTATAAGGCGCAGGTCGGCAAGAGCCAAGGCTTGGGGACCCCAGAGTGTGATTTGGGGTAACTGCTGGACGAGGAAATGGAACACAGATGCGACAGAGATACTGCTGTGCTCCAAACACGTGCCTGAGCCTTAAGCTAAGTTGAACACTCTCTCCTGCAATGAATACATATCCGTTCCCGATATTGGCTAAAACATGGAACTCGATGGAGACTGCAACTTTGTGTCACTTTAGGGGATATTTTGACACCTCTGAAACAGAATGAAAATTGTCAAATCAAAGGATCCAACTATCAGGAGATTTCCTTCCACAAGTCTGGACCAGGTTTGAACCCGTGTTGCTGAGATGTTAGTGTTTATCCTTTCACCATAGCTTGTGGCTCTTTCCTTTTAGATACCGTGACACCACACACTGTTGCCTCCTTTATTAATGTCATATAATCTCTGGGAAATACCTGCTGAGAGCTTCTTTGAAAATGTCTCCTCCTACGGCGTCAAAGACCACATTCACCCCTTTATTTGCAGTCAGCCTTTTCACCTCCTCTTTCAGACTCTGGGTGGTATAGTTGATGGCTGCGATGGCCCCTCGCTGCACAGCCAAGTCACACTTCTCATCACTCCCCACAGCTGCAATGACCTGCAGGTCAAAACAAACAGAAACCAAACTCACTGACATAACACAAGGGCTCACTGGCACAGGTAGATTACGTGTTTGAGGTTTTGAGAACACAATTACACACTCCATCCTCCTGCAAAGATCTCTCAAATGTAAATCAAAATTCAGAGAAGGGACAATATGATTAGCAATGTGCATTTTACCATGATAGAAATCACAGCACAGAAGAAGGCCATTCAGCTTATCTACTGGTGCTCCCCCACTGGAGCGATCTACTCTTAACCCATTGCCTGCTCTTTCCCATTGCCCTTTCACATTCTCTCTCTTCAAATGTTTATCTAATTCCCTCTTCAAGGTTGTTATGTTCTCAGTCTCAATAACCACTTGTGATGAACATTCATTCCATGTTCTATCTAACGTTCTGTAGGAAAACATTTCTTCCAACCATCCCCCTGGGCCTTGGCAATTCTAAACTGGGCTGAGTGGCCCGATGCTCAGTTAGACCATCAGAGAGAAACAAGGCCTTCATCTCGTTACTCTGGGGCGGATTAAAACCAGAACCAGGGATTAATAGCTGTTCTCGGCCACTGAACCACTCAGGTTGCATCCTATCATTGTGCACTGTCCAGAATTCAAAGACTATTTCTATACGTGACCTGTGGTTTTCTCAAGTTGTACCATAGGCGAGGAGAAGCACAAAAGACCATTGGTAATTAAACCCACTGAAATGTGTAAGGGTTCAGACCTGGGCATTTAGAACGTGTGAAGCAATGTCCACAGCTGCAAGTCCTGCTGCACCAGCTGCTGCCGTCACCAGAACCGTCTCCCTGAGAGTGCAACAGACAGCGCAGGTTAGCAACAGGGCACGGGGTGGGGAGGCTGGATTTACTCCATTTAACGAACATTTTACAGCATCTACAATGTGAAAATTTGTTGAATTGAGTCTTAACTTTGAAGTTGATTTTCGGTAGTCCTTAAGAGAAACGTACAGACTCAGATGGAATTTCTCCCCATAGGTTGCTGTTTTATACTAAAATAATCTTACAACAATTTTCTGGAAGAGCGGCTCAAACTAGTACTATATTATTGACCTGGAGTTTCTCTTCTCTCCAGGTTCTATGGAGCCAGTAGCTGACCCCGTCCTGCACACACCCATTGGTCGCGTGTCAGCCAACTTCAAGCCTACCCTAAACTGATAGCCAAACACTGAATTATGGAAGTTTCACAGCACTGAAGGAGGCCATTCGGCCCATCGGCTCAGCACTGTACGTAGAAGCTTCCCCCACTGGAACCATCGACTGTAATACACTTCTATTTTCCTGAACCCCTTATTGTGATTCTAATTCAGGTATTTATCCAATTCTCTTTTAAATGATGTTATAGCTTCAGCTTCATTGACCAGCTGTGTCAATCTATTTTCTAACATATTGATTGTCTGACAGGCAAGATCAAGAATCCAGGCAGATTTTTTGCCTGTTCTCCCAATCCCAAGGGCACAACAGCAAAGTGTAGTGATCCTGTGCCATCCTAAGATCATCTCATCTGTCTTGAGCCAGATGATTTTAGCCAGAGTGACAGTGGAAACCTAGCTCCTGCTCCTGACAACAGCCTCTACTGTAAAGTGTGTGGATGTTGGAAAGCACAGGGTTGGCCTGCAAACATGTACCGTCCAGAGACACACAAACACAGCGCTCACTTGTGTGGATCATTACCTCCAGATGAAAAGGGGAAATACAGAGAAGAGTGGGAGATGTACAGCAAGATATGGTTTGGGGAAATGTTTTGATTTGGGGCCCAAGATTGTCACATTGATCTGTTTTTAAACTGACCCGAGGACAGAGTCAATTCTCACCCCGGCTGTGTGTGTGCTCGGTGCTCAAGTGCCAAAATAGCCGTGCCGTACGATACAGGTATTGAAGCGGCCACTTCATAGGGAAGCTCTGCCCCGATGGGCCACAGCATCTGTAGTGGGTCAGAAACACGTGTCACAATAGCACAGAGGACTGCAGACTCATAACGTGTCGGCTGACTATTCAATGCATCACAGCAATGCTGAGCAATATTAAACCGTGTTTCTTTTCAAATTGTTTTATAAGACCATCCCACCACCTTTAGCACAATGTGACAGGAGACAGATGTTCAACCCACCTGTCGTCTTAAAGCGCTATACTGTAAAGCTGATTGACTGTATATTTTGTGACTGCACGATGATGGGTTTCCGCATGCATCAAATGCAAAAAAAAAGGGTTCTTTTTAAAGGCTCCATTGTATTTTGGATTAGAACACAGGAATGGCAGGTTCCCAGGAGCTGGGAGGTTCCCAGGACCGAGGCTCACGTTAATCCACTTTCAGTAGGATTTACCTGCATGTGGCTTCCCTTCAGTGATTTGTCAATTTGTTTTACGTATAGACACAGAGCACCACATCTCCCCCTGTTGCCTCCCCCAACTCTTTTATTTACCTTCTGGTCAATGATGCATTCTTCTGCCATCGCTCCTTTAAAGCTCACACCGACCACACGTTCTCCCTGAACAAAACTCAATGTGAATGTCATGTTTATGCTAAGTACATTTCAGAAAGTAAATTATGCTAAGTACATTTCAGAAAGTAAATTAAGGAGCAAAGTTTGTATGATGTCTCATTTGGCAAAGGCATTGCCCAATGTCGTATTGGGCCATATGAACCAGGTTGGTCCCAGGTTCAATCCCAGATCTTCGGGAAATCTTAACTAGTGAGGTGGTTGGAAGCTACAGGGATCTCACTGCAGATCATTAACCAATAACCCTTTCTGGAAAGTTTACTGGTGTGCATAGGATTCAATTCGCCTGATACCTCTGGTAACCAAACAGATTGTGAACAACCAGGATCACCTCTCACGAGGTTACACATGAACGTGCTAGCACCACGAAACTTAGCATGAGCAGGCTGAGATAACCACTGTATCACAACAGGTAATAACTTTACCAACCCAGCTATCTAGGAAAGCCCTTCCTTAGCACTGTTACCTTTTGAACAGTTGTGACACTTGTTCCAATCTCCACCACACATCCGGCAAACTCCATTCCTGCAGAACCAGAAACAGTAAAACAGTTTATCCTGAGAATATCTTCTCAAACCACTCACAGGAATCCTGTTAAGTGCTTTTCATTCATTGAATGCATTGTCCCTTGGATAGTTTCTGACGCAATTAGGTCATTCACTTTACAACTGTGTGAGGCCCTTCAAGCAATTTTTCTCTGATCACAGCGACTGAACAAACAGTTTGAGCCCGATTACACCACACATTTGCAACACATCATCCCCAAATGTGCAGGAAAAAAATGAAACCAGCAATGAAAAGTCAAGGTAAGGATCAACAATCTTCTCTGCTCCTTCCTTTTTATTTCAAGACCAAGATTGGGAACTCACTGTGCAAGTTTTCCCCTTGTTCACCACTCTGCAGGCAACACACACATTGATCACCTGCCTACCCGCAGCTCAGAATTCATACTCATATTCTGAATTTTTATAACCATGAGAGAGATTGCATTAGTAGAATAAATATGGTTAGAACAACTAAAGTGGCTTTACCTGGAGTGAAGGGGGTCGGCCATCTCTCCTGATACAGGCCCTGACATACCAGAATGTCAGCAAAGTTCACACCACAGCAATGAATGTCCACTCGCACCTGAACGGGATACATGAGGCCACATAGCTTCAAATAGCAATCAAAGAGAAAAAAAGACTCATCTCTGTCGGTTCACGGCAACTCTGGGAAAGCACCAACTTATAATATTAATAATCCTTGCATTTGATATAGCGCCTTAATATATTGTGAAGTGTAGTGACGGTATATTTTGTGGGTGGAATGCTGCAGCTAAATGTGCACAGGGGTGTCCTACAAGCAGTCGTTGCTTGAGTGACCACATTTTTTTAAGGAGGGATTATTACCCGTGGAAAGCGATCTGCCAATCGACTAACAACTGGGTTCTAACTTACTGCTAGGTAAACAGAGGTGTGTAGAGTAGGCAAACTTGCCAAAGGTTTCCCCCTGCCCAGAAATCGAACCTGGATCCTCTTGCTTGAGAGGAGAGTGCACTAACCACTACACTACGAGACCTTATCAGTTGCAGCGGGTATCATGGAATGTTACAGAAACAGGCTATATGGCCCATTAAGACTGCACTGGTGTTTTTCTCCACGTGAATCACCCGGCTAATTCCACTCTTCAGCTCGTTGCCCAAAATCTTTAATATTCCTCTTCACCTGTCTAACTCATAATAAATAATCATCACATTTGATATAGTGCCTTATTGAGACGTCTCAAAGTGCTTCACAGGATATATTGTAAAGTGTAGTGACTGTGTGTTTTATTGGAGAAACGTGGCAGCCAATTGTGCACAGCAGTGTCCCACAAACAACTGTGGAATGAGTGATCAAATTAACTTTAATGCCCCTCTACTTCAGCTACTCACTCTCCAGCTTGGACTCAGTCATGTACGTGAAGCGTTATGAGATGTTCCCCTAACGTGAAATGCACTATGTAAATCTAAATTGTTGTTTGAACCCAATAAATCTAAATTGTTGTTTAAACCCATAATCATGACCTTGATAGTCCTAAAGTGAAGAATGTTCTATTTATCAGGAGAATTAATAGTCAGGATGCTGTGGAAAAACTCCATTCTCTTTTTGAATAGTGTAATGAGATCTTTGACATCCACTTGAACAGGCAGACAGGACCTCAGTTTAACATCTCATCCAAAAAAGCACCATCCCTGATAATACAGCACTCCCTCAGTGCTGGAAGTGAATGTCAACCTAGATATGAGTGTCACATCATGTTTCAAAAGATAAGCCTGTGACTTAATCTCTGCTACATGTACACTTTTTTTTGGGGGGGGAGAAGTGTCTGACACTTGTGGAAACCCATCACCAGGCTTAAGAGTATCCAAATCAAGCTGAGAATTCCATGCATCCCATCTACACGTGGAAGTTCCAGAGACAGATTGTTGGGATGGATTGTGCACTCTATAATCGAAGGGACAAATTCCTGCTTACCTAATTCCGGAAAGTATTAGGCGCAGGTTGGCAAGAGCCAAGGATTGGGGACCCCAGGGCGTGCGTTTGGGTAATGCTGGAGTCTAACTACCTAAAACTGCATGGCTTGCCATCGATCGCACTGTCTGTACATACATGGCAATTGTGTCTACAGCAGAGGTTCCCTTGAGGCCGTCAATGGGATTCCCTATCAGCTACTTGGAAATGTGATTTTGCAGGCCAGGAGAGAATAATAGAATTAATTATCTGTTTACAAAGCACGACTCCTGCAATATGGCAGATAACCAACATCAATACTTTGTTCTATATTTCAATCAGATAATTCAAAGCATCATCATCCAGGGTTCTTTTATATGCCTAGGGCTTGGGTTAGAAAAATTAATTCATCCCCAACATTATTTTCTATAATTTAGGACGTAATCCAGTCCGAGGGTTGCCAGCTAGCAGAAAATAACCTTATCTTACCCACCCAGCTCTCTCTGTATCGTACCTCAGTGGGTTTCAGCACAGCTGAAGGCAGTTGTTGAACGACCAAAGGTTTGTTCAGCTCTGTACATAATGCTGCATGGTAGGAATTGCCTGAACGTGTTGCATGGCTGGTACCCAAGGCTGCCAGTCTTAGCTGGTGCCTCAATGAATGATTCTTCCTGTGGACAAAGAGAAGCTTAACGCCACATTGATAATAAGGACAGCATTTAACTACCACAAAGCCTGTCTGCCAACAACATTTCATTCACTCAATGTAACAAAACGAATAACTGTACGTGGCACTGCATTAGAGAGCAAGCAACCATAAAACACCAGCAAAGTGGCAAACTCTGAAAGGCAGCCCCAGTGGGGGGGGGGGGGGGGGGGAGGTCAGAACTCCTCTCCTGAAAATACTGATACTTTATCTGCAAAATTTTTTTTTGGGTGGGGCGGGGGGTCAGCCAAGTGTCTGACACACGTGGAAACCTATCACTATGCTTGAGTATCCAAACCGAACTGAGAATTCCACGCATCCCACCTACACATGGGAATTTCAGATAGATCTCTCCCTGGAGGGAATGCATCCCGCTTATCCAATTCCGTAGAGCATTAGGCACGGGGTTCGTAAGAGCCAAAGCTTGGGGACCCAGAGTGCGCGTTGGGGTAACTGCTGGAGTCTGATCGGCTAAGCCGCACAGCTTGCCATCGATACTGCTGTCTGGCGAGCTGTCGTGCCGCTTGCACAGAGAGGACCACCCCACACCACCCCACCCACCCCCGTCAGTGCGTTTTCTCGAAGAGTTAACAGGAGCTCAGTGAGATCACTCCGTGACCACCCCACCCCAGTGATTGGACTGCCCTTCCAATGAGCCAGGCCGGGCTGGGCAGGGCCGGGCAGGGCTGGCATGGGCAGGGCTGGGCTGGGCAGGGCCGGGCTGGGCAGGGCTGGCATGGGCAGGGCCGGGCTGGGCCGGGCAGGGCCGGGCTGGGCAGGGCCGGGCTGGCATGGGCAGTGCCCTGGGATGTTGTGGACCAGCCTGGATCAGGAACCGGACCACCCGGACCACGAGGGGTTGGCTCGATTCCGACACGCCCTCGTCAAAGCAGGTCACCCGGGAGCCAGTTCAGCTCCGAGGACCACCCGCTTACCTCCTCCCCACCCACCTCCCCACCCCCACCCCCACCCCGGGTGGGTGCATGGTCTCCGCCAGAAGTCCTCCTGCAGCGTGTAATGTACCGAGGAGCCCCCCCCACCCACCCCCTGCAGCGTGGGACCTGAGCTCTGTGAACATGCACCAGAGACCCCCTCGGCCGCGCTGCACTGGGGGGGGAGGAGGGAGCGCGGGGGCGGGTTGGGGACTCGAACCCGGGACCAGGTTGGATTCGGATCCAACTCCAGGCCCAGCCCCAGGCGGAGAACCTGAGGGGATGGGTCCCCCGACTGAACCCCCCAAACCGACCTGAGCGCGGCCCTCAGGATCCGCTCTGGGGCAGCGCCGAACCGAACCCAAGACATGGCCACCCGGGGAGGGAGGGGGGGGGGGGGGGGGGGGAGTGCTGTGATTCCCACTCCCCGCACAGCGCCACCTGGCGACGGGAAGCGGCAGCGCCACCCACCACCTCACACGCACCTCCCACCCAATCTGCTGTCCAACGAGCAATCGTTCCCAAATTCCAATCCCGAGCTCTCACCTGGTTCCTCCTCACCCAAAGGGCTCAGGGTCCTCCCCCCCCTCCTCACCGAGATAAAGGGCTCAGGGTCCTCCCCCCCCCTCCTCACCGAGATAAAGGGCTCAGGGTCCCCCCCCCGGGTCTGCCCTCAGCCGCTGCTTCTGCCTCTAATATATACAGTCACTACACTTTACAGTCAATGATAATTAACAATCCGTGCAAAGCGTAGTGACTGCCGAGCGCAGCGCCCTGCAGCTCAGGGCAGCCGACACTCACTGCCCTTTGGGGGCTCACACACGGACACTGGTCACTTGGGCAGGGTGATGGGGGGGGGGGGAGCCGGGAGCAGTGAGGAGGAAATTGCAAACGTAAGTGGGTGTGCCAGTTTTTAAAAGTATAATAAAAGAAAGGTCTCGGAAGGGACAATACAAGATGTCAAATGGAACGAAGTAATTAAAGTCACAATAATAAATCGGTCATTTTCAATCCACAACTGTTTGTGGGACATTGCAGTGCGCAATTGGCTGCCACGTTCGCCCACAAATATACAGTCAATTCACTTTACAGTGTGTTCTGTGAAGCGCTTTGGGACGTCCTCCCGACGTGAAAAGCGCTATATCAAATTCAAGGATTATTATTATTAAAGGCAGTTTTATGTACAAAAGATTGAAATGAAAAGAAATGGTTCCTCGGTGTAGTACATAAGGAACAGATCCCACTGTTGCTGGCTTCATTAACTCCGTCGAAAAAGAGACAGGAAGCATCTGCTGGAGTACAGCATTGGGGGACATTGTGATGGGAGCAGATTGAGATGAAGAAGTGCTTTGTGGTGATTGTTGTTTTTCTGTGTTTCTAGGGCTGGGAAGAGAGGAGGAAATATTGATTATGAAGGAAAGCAGGACAGGATTAAATGGGAATACATGAATAGTCGAAACTTTATATTGATTATTTATACGAATCTAGGAGTATTTATGGGGAAATTTTCTCCAGGGGGAGAAAGGGTAGAAATAATAATAATCCTTGCATTTGATATCAGTTACCCTCCTTTCTCCCCTGCCCTCCACCCTCCCCAATCCCAAGCCCCAGCTCGGGTCCAAAACACTGATTGTCCAACGCCTTGGGACATCCTCCTGACGTGCAAGGCGCTATACAAATGTAATTTTGTTGTCGTTGTTGCCTTATCACGTCTTCAAGACGTCTCAAAGCGCTTCACAGAATATACTGTAAAATATGCACAGGTTTTGTGTTTGTTTGCTTGTTCTTTAGTGCATTTATTTCTTTCCACCAGATGGCGACATTTCCCTTCATTTAAAGTGCTCACTGAACAGGTACTTATGTAGTTAGTTATTGACGTTTTATACAATGATTTGATGAACAACGATTGCAGAATTCACTGTCATCTTCGTGATTTAAAGGGCACTGACTTAGCAACCTGTGCAATTTTGCCTAAAGTGCCAACACCAAATCATCATACAGCATCAACAAGTTGTACTACAAGATCACATTCAAAGACAATTATTTTAAATTTTACAGAATTTCTCAAATCCTTTATAAACGGGAGAGGAAACGTTTAATTATTCAGATGCAGTAAATAAAACATTTGTGCTTCCCCAAACTTCCCCTCTCCCATTTCATACCTTCTCTTCTCTCCCATTTCCTCCCCTCGTATTCCTTCCCCCCGCCTTCCCTCCCCTCCCATTCTCCCCATCCCTTCCATATCATTTTGCTCCCTCCTTCCCACTTTCTTGTCTCGTCTGTCGTGGCGTTGACCTGGTACCAGCAACCCTGCTGCCCAAATAACCACTCATTATCTCTGAGCCTAGAAAGTTAGTCCTGGCATATGATTTGACTATGGGGTCATCAAAGCGAAACCCAATTCTGTCCTCACCAACTAACACATCCACACACACAGTGTTTCAAGAAGGGTGATTACTGGAAGGAGCACTCGCTTTAATTTTTCCTTCTCTATCATTTTTTCCTTCTCAGTCTTTCTTGAATGATCCAGTGTCACCTGTTAATATTGATCATTTCCATCCCATTGGATTGTTTTTCCCACCCAGGCCCCCTCTTCTCGCCTACAATAATCAAACGATTGACACCAACTGTGAATTCAAGTTAAAACTCCTGCTTATATCTATTGCTAGTTTGGATGTGAAGTGTAAACAATGACACATAGCTTTTATTACCTCCTATATTCCGTGATAAAATCCCACTAGGCATTGATTGCAGAAAGTCAAACTTAAGTAGATGGTGAGTCTATTTGTTCTGTCATTTTTCTTTGACTTTTTTCTCTTCTCAAGGCACTGACAACTCAGATCTCCAGGCGCCAGCCACGCTCCAGTACAAATCATCAATTATCTTCTTTGTACTGTAGACACATGCTTGCTCCTAGGGGACGGCTGTAGGAAACAGGCAGTGTAAGATTCCAGGTGACGACAACAGTACAGTGGTTGCTAGTAACAAAAGCTTTATTGACTTTAATTTTCCCAAATTAGTCATGGCGAGCTAGTCTGGGACATTGTTTTATAAATGGTGACGAGTGGTAATCACCTAGAACTCATGGAACTTCCTGTTGACTTACTTGTGAAGTTCGAACCCCAGCTGAGTGGAGCTTGTGGAATCAAGCTCCACGTCAGCAATTGGGGTTTATAGTCTCGGCTGTCACTCCAGTGCATTACTGGGGTATCACAGAATTGTCGGAGGTGCTATTCTTCGAATTTGCCTTTTTCACTTTGCCCTTTTTCAAATGGACATTAAAGATCCCATGACACTGCTGGTAAAAAGAAAGGATTTTTCTCCCAGAATCGTCCAGATTAATTGAACATTGCACCTTAGGGCTGTCTGTGGGACCCTGCTGGCAAATATGACTGCTAGACTTACCTACAAAAACATTCACTAGGCGTGACTGAAATTACATGGTGAATGCTTTGGGGGCATTTTGACGTGATAAGGTTTTCTTTCATTCATCGTCACCACATCAGTGGATGATTGTCTGTGTATTAAAATTGTATGCATTCTAGTTCTTCATTTCCCTTTTTGTTGGCACCCGCCCTATTGGGACAAGATCCAACTCAGTGCTGAACACAATATGGTGCATTGTTAAGTATGGAATAAAAGTTTTCAATTTGGGTGTTTCATTGTGGATGCTCAAAGCTATATCAAAGATAAAAGGAGAGGTACAGTATCGACTCCCATTGCACAAGTGTAATAAAGGCTGTCTTTATCAGTTGCGTATTTTACTTTTTAAGGTATTTGGTGCTTTCTCCCATGACACTAGCCTCACACTGGCAGGCAATTCACTCCCATGTCTCCGCAAATGTTGCTGTGTAAATGCGGGCAGAGACACAACAACAACAACTTGCATTTAGTGCCCTTTATGCAGGGTAGCGTCCCAAAGCGCCAGGAATGGCTCAAGATGATTCTCTGCCTGTATCATTGACAAAGAGCAAAGTCTCCATTTAATATTTATGGGTTGGAATGACTGGATACTCAAGTATTAGATGTAGAAAATAATGGATGTGAGGCTCCTCTATATTCCAGTACCTTCAAATTAATGTGAGCATCATAATAATGCTCTTTACATGCTTTTTTTTTGTTGATGAAAGGAGCACAGCTAAATATTTAGTAATTATTTACATTCTGTCAGAAGCACAACCAAGAAACTATAAGTTGTTGCCTTTTCAGAATCCAAGTCCTTCCGTCATCTGTGGTTTTCCTGGTAACTTGCTGTTTGAAATTTAATTGATCTGCTCACTCATATTCAGAGAGGAGTTAAAATGTATACACGGACCAGAGCTGGGACGTGGGATGTCACTTTTTGACTCGTCACTGGCACCACTGAGGAGTTGGCGAGTTTTTGTCACCTGCTTGCGTGCTCCCCATTTGGGTGGTTCTCCTATTCCCTGGATGGTCCAATTGGCCTTTCTGAAGTGAATTGTAAGAAAAATCCAAATGCTGACAAAACACTATATCAAAAAGTGTGAATTAATTCCCACAGATACACAATGGGGCCAAAACCTCTGTTATCTGGATGAAAGGGATTAATTTCACTGAATGTGTAAAATCGCTTTACCTAATAGGTATGGAGACTGGCCAGGACCCCTCTCACCACTTCAGTGGCTTTTTGCCCTTTACACATGTATTTTCACATGGTTAGTACAACCACAAATTGAATTCCCCCACTTTCTGTTTCTCTTTTCTCATGTAATAGAGCAAAGAGTTATTCTGTATTGGTTAATTCCAAAGTTAAGGAAGGACATCTGGAATTCCCTCTGTACACGTGTTTACAGGTGGTTAGCAAAACCTGCAATTTTGATCCCAATTGACTTACAACAGTCAAGTTCCTACCTTAGATAGTAGAGCAACTGATATTATTGAGCTGTGTCGTTGCAGGCAGAGCCCAGGTTGTACAGGAGTCGAAAACACAGGGAATGTTAGGATTTCATTTTTTGCACACAGACTGGGACTCCCATTGCAAACCATAATGATCCAAGCTGGTGCCAGTCCAACGCATCTCACCGGGTTTACTCAACATTTAACTATTTAATCCAGGTCCTCATGGGAGGGCTTTTGACGTTCTCGCTGTAAAACTAATTCCACGCCCAGGGTACTCAGTAACGGGTCAATATAGGATGGAACTTTCCCTCCCTGTCGCTGCTTCCCCTTTTTACCACAGATGTACCTCGCTGCTTGGACCTGGACTTCACAAATGGGCAAGCACCGATGACCACCACAAACCCCAGGGGACTTGGCATCCCTGCCTTTCAGCCTGGCTCTCAGTTGGTAGGACTTTCACATCTGAGTCAGAAAGTGACCTCTGTTTAGACAGTAAATCAAGGTCGTAATGCGGACA